CTGTTTAATTTTTTTTACTGAAAGATGCTAGTAGTTACGTCACATACGTCAAATAATAGGCAATCCATTGTCATGAAGAATTTCTCGGTATTTTTACTAGATCGATAATAAGATATAAGTGCCAGAAAAATGTCTTCTTTGTCATGACGCAATATTCGGACAGTATTAGAAATATTTACGAAATTTAAAACCCCAAGTGACAAACTAAAAAAATTATAGAATTTATATTTCTAAATTTATAGAACAATATTGACTTTTATAGTAATTAATAAATTAAAATTATATCGATGTTACTGAGCATGCGCATTAAAGATTATTTCATGTAAGCAAAGTAGCATCGCAACAGGATATGATTCAAGAAACGTTTGGTTGTGGTTAAGAGTGCGTCTATAATTAATAAACCACTTTAAGAAAAAAACACTCGGTAAACAGACTGACACAGCAGAGCACCAAGAAAAACAAAAAAAAATACTTTAGTCCAGGCGGTATCTATTTCGGGTGGAGTAAAACGCATATGATCGGAGATTTTTGCTTTAACGGCTTCTAAATAACATCAAAAATGATAATTTTTCTATTCAAATAAAAAAAACGTGGACTTAATTGTTATTGTAAAAAAGTATAAAAAAATAGCAAAAAAATCATTTTTTCTTGGATTTCTCGTCGACAACTTAGCAACTTTTAGACAATTTTAGACACAAATGGAAGAGGAAAAAGTTTTGTAATTAAATTTTGAACAAGATAGAGGTAGTTGCAACTCGAAAAAATAATTATTGTTATTTGCAAAAATCGGAAAAATCATTTAAAAAATTGCAAAAATGCTAGTTTATTTGTCATTTTTTTTCAGACACTTGAATAATACCTAGGATTTTCATACTTTTCCCAATTAAACTTCTTAGTGCATAGAACCATCTCACCAAATTTCATCCAATTGGGTTCGATAGTTTTTGCATAATAATTGTTTTTTTTTTTAATTAAAAAATTTTAAAAATCAAATTTCTAAAAATCTAAAGCCTTTGCATACTTGAAAATTTCACCAAAAAAAGAAGTTGAGTGCCCAAGCATTAAAATTGTTTTTGAAAAATTCAAATCGGACGATTAGGTGAGCCGTGGTGATTGTTTAAACATTTTCGCAATTTTCACGCTTATAAACAATTGCAATAATTTAAGGTATTTTTCAAATTTTTGTTTATGTTAAAATATGGTTTGAAAGCACTCGGAAAGACGAGTATTTAAAAAAAAAACTGATGATCCGCCCATTATTTTCGGAGTTATAGCCCGTTAAAGTTAACCCTTATTTATAGCAAAACTATAAGGGTATAAGGGCTGTTTTTTGAACAGGTTTGTCATTCCGAGTACTTTCCAGATATACATTTTCAAAATTTGCAATCACGCGCGTCCCATTTAAAATGTCACTCAAAGATATTCAAGACCGCGTGAAATCAGTGAGATATCAGTGGTGGGGGGAGCAAACACACAGCTACTCCGATCTCAATCCTCATAATAGTTGCCCTAATCGTAGATTTCTCCTAATGCAAATTGTGACCAACAACGAGATTGATGTGATTGATTTAAACAACATTAAATTAGATGAATTCGATGATAAGCTATTGCAGATAATTTACAGAATGAAATTAATGCGATTCATCATTTCTTGTAAGTGCACTTAAAATGTATAAATGATGACACGACGTAACAAAACTCACACCAACAGCGTAAGAACCAATCAGACCGCGCGTCTGTTGACCACAACTATGGCGCCAGTGGCGTACATTGAATTAATATATTAGAATAAATACTCAATACAAGATCTATAAAAATAAACAGTACCTACATGTATGTAAGGTAATAAAAATTGTACATTAGGTATAGAAAAAATGTATAAGATGGAAAAAAGCTTTAAAAAGAAACCTACCTTTGTGCTGAAATGACAATTGCATTTATAAAGCCACCTGTCAAAAAAAAAATTGCTTAGGAGTGGGGGTATTTTTATCGTATACAGGGTGTCCGGTAAGTACCTCCTAAACTCTCGGGAGTGTATAGGGGAGGTCAAAATAAAACTAGTCCTTCCTATAATTTTTTTTCCTAATATGCCCCCTAACGGAGTTATGGGGGGTCAAAGGGGTACCTAGAAATTAACGTTTAGGGTTATAACTTTGCAACCACCCTGTATATTTTAATAAAATTTTCGTACGTTGTATTACACATGGAGCTCTACGATTTGATGCTAAAATCAACTTTTTGCTATTATCAGGTGTCCAGAAACGGACTGGCCCTATCACAATTTTTCTCAAAATTTTGACAGAAGTAATTTTATCAAACTGAAAATATTATTATTAGATACTCTGAAGGTTTTTCTTTAAAAATGGTACTCTTTATTTATTTCGAAAAAATGAACGGTTTGCGAGATAAATCGGTTTTGAAAAAAATTGGTAACAAATACAACAACAATTAAAATTTATTTTTTTTACATATTATTTCATGCATTTAATTTCTTTAACTTTATCAAGTCCAGAAATCTTTGAACGGGTTGGCTATACTTTATGAGCAAGTAGTGACCAATTAAAAATAACATTTGAAAAATAACTTACTTACAAGACATGCAACAAAGAACATTCAACAATGAACAAAGGTACCTAAATGTTACTTCGGTAGATGTTCAAAATGAGCACCCCGTACTTCAATGCACTTTCTAATCCTACGAATGTTTTCCCGGTGCACTTGAAATAATATTCCGTGATTATTGCGGAGATGGTCACAGTTCTGTGTTAGCCTCAGCAGAAGTTCCTCTCTACTATTTACGGGTGTTGAATAAACGTTATTTTTTAAATGACCCCACAGAAAAAAGTCTAATGGGTTTAGGTCGGGCGACCTAGGTGGCCATAATACAGGTCCGCCTCGACCTATCCATCGATCACCAAAAACATTCGTCAGATGTTGACGTACTAAACGATCAAAGTGGGGTGGTGCACCGTCATGCATGTACCACATTTCAGTTCTTATTTGAAGGGGCACTTCTTCTAACAAAATATTTAGATTTTCCTCTAAAAATTGCAAATAAAGAGCACCATTAAGTCTTTGCTCCAGAATAAATGGACCAATCAAATGATTCCCGATAATGCCAGCCCACACATTCACCATAAACCTTTGTTGGTAGCGAGTTTGAACTAAAGCGTGAGGGTTTTCTTCATCCCAGACATGTAGATTATGCGAATTAATTATGCCGTCTCTTGTAAAACCTGCTTCATCGGTGAACAAAATAGATGTACCAAAATTATGATTCCGAATATGATGCTGTAAAAACCAATTGGCGTATTGAAGTCTTTTTGGATAATCATCTGGAGACATAGCATGTACTTTTTGGATGTGGTACGGGTAAAGCAATTGTTCTTTCAGAGTTTCATGTACAGCCCATTTTGTAACATTGTTTTGCGCCGCAAGCTTCCTTATGCTATTTGAAGGATTATTAGCAACGTCTTCCAATATTTGTTCCTCTACATGAGGGTCTCGTACTCTCCTCGGGGCTCCTGCTCCACCACGGCGTGGCAAAAAGCTTCCTAAATAAAGGATTCGGAAGAAATTAGTTTCACTAACGTTTTTCACTATTTTTTTTTACCTGTTTCTCTTAAACTACGATCAACTCTTTCAAAAGTTTTTGGACTCGGCAAATGTCGACCCGGAAACCTTTCCTCATAAAGTCTTCTTGCCTCCACGGAGTTGCATAATGCTTCCCCATAAATTAGGTGCATATCAGCATATTCTGCACAGGAATATTCTTCCATTTTTAAATGTTATTTCTAACGGCTTAAAACGAATACCACAATAAAATTGAATTTTTATTCTGTCACGCGCCTTTGACAAGTACTTTAAAATCAACAGGGTCTAACAACGAAAACAATAGAAAAGAACTCCATGGAGACAAGAGCAATAATAATTTGTAGATGTATTTTGGTCATAGATGTTGATTTTACAAGAAACGGCATTATTCATTCCCTTAATTCACCACCAGTAAATGTTTATGGTGAATCTGTAGGCTGGCACTAGCGGGAATGATTTTATTGTAAAAAAATAAATTTTAATTGTTGTTGTATTTGTTACCAATTTTTTTCAAAACCGATTTATCTCGCAAACCGTTCATTTTTTCGAAATAAATAAAGAGTACCATTTTTAAAGAAAAACCTTCAGAGTATCTAATAATAATATTTTCAGTTTGATAAAATTACTTCTGTCAAAATTTTGAGAAAAATTGTGATAGGGCCAGTCCGTTTCTGGACACCTGATAATAGCAAAAAGTTGATTTTAGCATCAAATCGTAGAGCTCCATGTGTAATACAACGTACGAAAATTTTATTAAAATATACAGGGTGGTTTCAAAGTTATAACCCTAAACGTTAATTTCTAGGTACCCCTTTGACCCCCCATAACTCCGTTAGGGGGCACATTAGAAAAAAAAATTATAGGAAGGACTAGTTTTATTTTGACCTCCCCTATACACTCCCGAGAGATTAGGAGGTACTTACCGGACACCCTGTATAGTTTTCTCAACTTTGGCTGTATTTAGATACAGGTAAAATGAGGCAATTTTTTTCCTCTCCGGTAATTGATCAACAGTTTGTTATGCATTTGTGATTTAATTTATTGCTTCTTCACAAGAATACAATTGGGAAGTGGCACACCCAGCTCAAAAACTTTGCAATAAAGTGGTAAATAATTTATAACTAATCTAATAACAAGTACAATAAAAAAAATTAAATGTTTTATCAGTGACGGTTTTGCATGTAGAAAGATTTAGTTAGTGATTTATTAACTCTCATAAATTGAAATTACTGTCACAATTGTTTTAAAGAATATTGTATTATTTCAATATACCACAAATTTATTTGTACTCTCAAGTTTAGCTTCGCACTAATAATTTTCGCGTATTTTTGTTAACTTTAGCAAACAAATTCATAAAAAAATAAACAGTAAATTTATTTACAAAACAAATAACAACATCTCGGTGGTCACATAGAATAATTTACGTATAAATATCACAACAAATTCTGGAATCCAGTTCCAACTAATTATAATAAGAAAAAGTCGGGTCCTATGAAACTTCCACACGTTGGAAAATTTGTAGGTATGGTAACTACATCTCCCAAATCCCCTACCTGAAAAATAACGTCCATCCCCCTCGTCCAACCTCTCGATTGTTCATCCCTTAACATCCAAAAACCTGAAAATACACATGTAAGTAATACATAAACATAAATTTAAACTACGGAAGGAAAATGCGGAATGGTATGCAGGGTGATTCCCAAATGGTTACCAAAAATAAATCTTTCTATAAAGTTTTTATCGAGGACGCTTCGTTAAAAATATACAGGGTGTTCCAGTTAACTTAACAAAGTTAACATCCGCGACCATTTTGTTTGGACTTTATTTGTTTTTCTACTATCATTTTTTAAAAATTCATAAAAAATCGTGCAACTTTTAGATTTAACGTTTTTTTATAACTCTTAAAACAAAAAAGTTAAGGGGGGGGTCAAAATATAGTGAATCACCCTGTACAGTAATTACCCTATTTGTACGATAATTTACAAGAATGATAAGAGGTTTTGAGACCATACTAAAGCATTCGAATTTTACTATAAATTATTTATAACCTTTAGTAAAAACTAAAACGGTATTCTGAAATAAAATGAGTGGTAATTCTTAAGCAAAATAATGAATTATTTTCAAATATTTATTAAATAGAGCTAACTAATAATTGCTACATTTCGTACACCGATTAACACATCCACACTCCTCAAACTTATGAAAAATATTCAAAACAGTTCTAGCAGTGGGGACTGGTTCGTCGGGGTATGAAAATTTAAATCGACCAACGACTTCCTCTGTACTTTCTACACCACAATACCATTTAATAATATTAATTTTTTGTTCGACACTGTATACCATTTTTATTTTGTAAAATTCCGTCTACTTCTTACCAAAGGCTCGAGTGGAATAATAATAAAAATAAACAAACAGCAAAGCGCTTTAGGTGTTCGGTCGGTTCACAAAAAATGCAACGGGGCACGTGCGCTCCCACAGCCAACCAATTACGAGAGTCCGAGTCGGAGCCTCGATGATATATGTCATGTCCGACCCCTTCCACCCGAAGTTGATAGGGGAGATGCGTGTAATTTACTTGGTCTATGCGAAATAATTATCTGGCCAGACCTGTATAATGCTTTTTAAAATTACATAGTTGGCTGCGATAGCAACTTTGACATTCTGAGCAGTTAGAAGAAAGAATAAATAATGATTTTCATCAGATTCAAGCAACGATAAATTTCGAACAAATTACATTTTCGTTACTAAAAAGATGTCGGGCCTGTGTTCGTGGATATGGAGGTATTTTTGAGCATTTACTCAAATAAAATCATTAAAATGGTAACTAATGTTATTAATTTCTTTATTCGAATAAATAACCGAATGATTAGTGCTTGTCATGTTAAGTAAAAGTGTTTTCAGTTGATTTTTTTAAGTTCTACTCGAAAATCAGGATTTTTCCGAAAAACATAAAAAAGTAGTAATTTGTAGAAAATTGAAAGACGAATCCGAAAATATCATGGTTATTACCGTAAAGCACTGGCACAATATTTTATTTAGAAAAATATGCCACCGATACCCTGTAGCCACTGGAGCATCTAAATTTCAGAAAAACTTCAAATTTTGGACAATGTTTACATAAATACATGTGTCCGATTTCAAATTACTGCACTTACAATTAGTAGTTTTTAAATTATTTAAAATTTTTTTAAATATTTTTAGTTTAACACCCTGTATCTTTTTAACGAAGCGTCCTAGGTAGAAACTTTATAGGAAAAACTCCCCTTAAAATTCACCAAAGAATACGAGGTTTCATTTTTGATCACCATTTGTGAATCACCCTGTATATTTATTGCATTTGTGTTAGTAGACATAAATGAAAAAAAATTAAGTCTAAAGTACGTGAAAGATTTATGCAGACAGATCTAGGAATCGTCACCCAGGTACAATAAAATATTGAGAAACAGTAAATTTAATTTATAGTTCTGGTGACAAAACGACAATAAATTTAAAAACCTAGAGATTACAGAAAACCAGATAAAGTGGCAGTACAAACTTGTATTTGTTAATAGAACTGAGTCAATATCTGGATATAACAGCAGTCTTCAGGCGTAATAATCACGAGTGGCAGAAAATTAAAATGAAGTTAATTAGAACTATTAAGAACCAAGAACGTAATCAGAGATGGGCCACCCAAAAATGTGCTGGCCCAAACTGTAGTGTAACAGGATTTTTTAAGTTTAATTTTATAGACTTTTGCCCACCTGGAGAGGTCTGTTTTTTTGCTCTATTTTTAATGTCTGGTTATGTGTTTGTTGTGATTGTAATTTTACCTGGATTTTTAGCAAAAAATCTTAATGCCACCACCCCAAATTTCGGCACTCTGATAGTGTCTTTCAATAGAGGGTTGACTAGGTTCCTCTTCATAAGCCTATTGTCAGCATCTAACTTCTCTGCCTCATGTCTGGTTAAAGCTTTGTCAAATGTATTTGATCCAACTATGTAGAAATGATATCCGTGTAGATGGAAGATGTGTTCGTCTTGATCTCCACCTAAAATAATTATAATAGTCAATAAAATCACAAACAAATATGCATACGTATTGCGTTGTTCAGACAGAGCTGTATGTAAAAAATGGTGTTTATATTTTAAAGTAATGATCTATCTCTTGCAAAAATCTGTTATTAATCATATCTCTGCTAAGGTTTAATGAATTATTTCTTCTTCGCAACAGCAGCTGAACGTCAATAATGCATTGTTTACGGAAATCAATGAAATGCTGCTGCGTGAAATAATAGTGGTTTGTTTTTACAGTTTATCACAATTCAATATGGCATTAACGACTTTCCATTAAAACGTTTCTTATATGTTGTACAAGACTAATAATAAATCATAACGAACCAAGGGACACAGAAAGGAAATAGCTACGCGCAATTTTATGCCTGACTTTCGATTCGTCTACAGTAACTTTTCTTGTAATTAGATACTAAAACGAAAATAACTGACTCTTTACAATAACATATTAGTTTTCACAGTCATAAAAATGGGGGGGAGGATTGTTTACATTTACAGGGTGGTTAATTGTATAACTTTTACGTAAATTCACGTTTTTCGCTTATAACTTTTTTCCGTTCATTTCTACGAGGAAACAGTAAAGTCCTTTTTTCGACTTCAAAAGGCCTAAAAAAATAGCCTTCGAGTCTCAAAAAATATTGATTACATCAAAAGTTATAAACAGAAGAAGTTTATTTATAACTTTTGAATTAAACATTTACAAACTCTGTTATTATTACTATAACGTTTTGGCATCGCATCCTCTCATACCTTATCACTGTCTAATAACTCACACGAAACCTGGAATCGGTAAGTTGAATAGTTTACAAGTTATAGCCTTATAAACAAATTAACTAATTATTCGTCTGGACGACCCCGAGCATCTTCCACAATCGCACCGATTTTTTTCATGGTAGATTTCATAATAATACATTGAAATCTATCATTTTTTTTAGTTTCAAATTTGCAACCTGGATTTTTTTTTATTTTGTAGCCTTAGCTGCAAAATGAAATATACGACGCACGCGCGTGATATAGTTATATATTATTACATATCCGGAAAGCTTATGAAAAGAGCTTTAAGTTAAAAAAAGAATCGTCAAGATTCGTTGAAAAACAACGGAGTTACAGACTGTCAAAGTTGACGGCCTATTGTTAAACAAATTAGGTTGGTAGCGACAAAAAAAAATACTCTCATAACCGGCAACCCAAGTACTTTCCCAGATAAAAATATTTTATTTGTGGAAGTATGTTAAGTGCATAAAAAATATTGTTAAGTCAGTGGGTCGCTTGATTTTTCGGCAAGCCGCACTATAATTCATTTGGACTTAGGTATGGACAAAAAGTAGCGCCTCGTAGAAAAAAGATAAAAAAATTAAAAAAACAGGCTTGTAAAGCTTAAGTGGAACAAATTAAGGGAAAAATAATCACATTTCACCAGCACCCCATTTACACCCTCAAAATTGAGCCCCAAAATTATAAATTTGGAAAAAAATTACATTTTCTGCTCTCTCGTTTGAAAAAAAAATTTTTCAAATGATACAAAACATTTTTTTATAGTTTTTGAGATGAGGAATAAGAATCCATTGTTTAAATTGAGCTAAAAAAAATTAGAAGCCTTAAATTTACGAATATTTCATTTTATGATGTTTTCAGCTCAGATTTCCACTCTTATGCATCGATTTGCTTGAAATTTGGACAGTAGGTGGGAAATAGCTCAAGAAATAAAATACATCCTATGCTGATATATATTTTCACCCTGGGGGTGGTTTCTACCCCTTTGAAGGGGTTGAAAACAAATTTTGTCATAATAATCCCGGGAATCGATAGAGCAACTAATTTGAAGCAAAAAATGTTTCATACAATTTTTTTGATAAACCAACACTTTTTGAGTTATTTGCGATTGAAAATTCAATTTTTCAATTGAAAATTCATTTTTTCATAAAAAAAATATTATAAACAGAACTGAGATCATATCCGATAAAATATTATAAAATTAGAATAAAAATACCTTTAATTTGGTTGTTTAAAGATATTTCTAGCTGCTATAGAACCGATGTTATAAATTCATAAGTTGACATTTTACTTATAATCGCTATAACTTCATTTCTGCAGCAGATGGAAGCTATTTTAAGAAGCCAAATTGTAAGCCTTTTACTGTACTTTCATAACCAACGTAAAATGTTGGCCTTGTTTTCTTACATAGCGATAATTATTCAATAAACAAGCTAAATATTGAAAAAGCTATTATTCGCTATTAATTAAATGAAAGTCGTTATAACTTCGGTTCCATAGCAGCTAGAAATATCATTAAAAAACAAAATTAAGGATATTTTACTTTAATTTAATAATTATTTAGTTCTGTTTATAATAATTTTTACGAGGTACTAAACTGTCCAGCAATACGCAATTCAGTTGGTATCTGGAGTTGGACCGTGTCTGAGTGTTTTTTGCGTACCACTATTTCCTTTTCTTGAGGTGTTTTTCAGCGAGTGCGGAACAGAATGCCCTCCACATTTAACTGACATCTCATACAAGTAATATTCTACATACCTTGGTCGATTAAAATAATTTCCGTGGTGCTCCCGAGGGCGATGTGTTCCATGTGGACGCATTCGCAGACGGCCTGGCCGGCGCACTTCTGCGGCACATTTAATTCGTTGCACATTAAGTTCGATGCGACATCATCCGGTTGAGTCAAAATAGGCGAGGGAGGATATGTAAATGTGAAGTTGTTTATCCTGTATATTTTAGAGGGCGTCTCTTTGAATCCTGAAAAAAATAAGGTCACTCAGAGGTAATATTTATGAGAGAAAGACGTATCGACATCAGAAGGGGAGAAAGTAAGCGTGTATTCGTATAATTTTTGTGCTTATCAGAAGAAATTTCACGAAGTTAGTAGGTATATCGCCGAAAGTTTCATAGGGTTTGATTAATTTTTTGTTAATTGAAAATTTGTTTTTGCAATAAAAAAAAACTACAATCTTGTACAAAATTTCATTCAGAACAAAAATTATATTTTCCATTTTCTTCGCAAAGATAATGAAGACAAACAAATGAAAAAACATTAATGGGAACATTTCAAAGCAATTGCATGTGAGTTCCACAAGGGTCAGTTCTTGGTCCTTTATTCTTTTTAATACTCATAAATGATATTGTCGATGTAGTTGGATCTTTGGACTGGCATGGCGATGGAATGATTGAGGTAATGGAGGAATGCAAATGTTCCAGACTGCGTTGTGGTAGGTAGCTATAATTTTATACAAAAAAAGAGCATTCGATGCATTTTTGTCACCTCTAATAGGACGTCGTACATTTCAAATATTTATGTTTATTCGTCTAAATATGAAACAATTTGCAGAGTTATACTACGTGAAATGGGATTTTACTTCTGATTCATAAACATTGGCTATCTACTTAAAATGAAGTTCCTTTACAATTTAAATAAATTAAAAGCAATCTCGTATTTAAAAGTCGACTAAATTCACTCATTTTATTCAGTATCCGAATACCTAATGACTAGAGAGCGGACAATGTGTGTCTTTAACCCGAAGAATAGGTCAAATTTTGGTAGAGATGTGTACGCGTTCAAAAATGTATTGTGTATAAACTATGCAAAATATAATTATTATGTATAGCAAATATATCGCGAAAATTTGTACCCTTTATTTAAAATCCATAAATCATGTGAATAGGTTAAATAACGAGAAAATAATTAAGTTATTTTTGTTCTAAAGAAATGAAATGACACTCGCGCCTATCTCTAGTCCATCCGTCGACATCGGTTGCGTTTATCGAATTCCTATTGGTCAGAATTCAAACTGCAGCCCTGTTATGAATGGAGCGTGAGTTGGACTATTCTATCATGTGCGTCGCCTAAGGCTATTCGTTACATTGACTCCTAATTTCCAATTAAAAGAACGACACTATTTTTAAACGAACTTTATTTAATAAATATGTAGTATACAATTTCTGATTTTCTAAATATTTTATAACGCCTAAAAATGTATGTACCGTGGAATTTTCGTGAAATATCACGTAAATTTCCGATGCATACCAGACACGCCACTGCATCATGGATAATGTATCTAGGTTTATGAATGACACATCTATGTTCAAGGTTAAAGACACAAATTGTCCGCTCTCTGCTAATGACAATACTCTTTCTGGAGGATAATATACTGCTTATACACTGCTGTGATAGTTTTTTATCTTTATCCTTATTGTACATTTTTTTATTTTACATGGCATATGATATTTGTTTTAACTATTACAAAAGAGTAAGGCAAATTACGCATTTTATTTTTTAACATGAAAGTCTCATATTATTGTACTTTCTAGGTTAAACTATTTACCAACGCATATCGTAACGCCATTAGGTTTGTTATATAATATTATGGAATAATATTGTATACTTTCACTAGAGTATTGCATAGGAAATTTACTTGTAGTGGAGTGGATACTACTCAATATATAAATAGAAACAACATATGTAAAATGGCATAAGTATTATGATGTAAATTTACTTCGAAATTGATATTATAGACGCTAAAGTTTGGATTTAACAAAAATTTAGACCAGGAGCATAATGTGGATTACTAAAGAATGACAAGGTCGAGAACCTTGCCCTCTTATAATACGGTTTTCTCTAATTTACATAAAATGATAATGCTAATTGTGTATTTTGCAATGCTATAATTTATTAGCTATGAGAACTAACAGCAACTCATTAAGAGTATTGGTTTTTTAGGTTGTATTAAAAATTATGTTGTGAAATTTATTAAAATAAATTGTAATAACATCACAAATAATTAATATGCTGCAGTGCATTTAGTTAGATTTTTACTTTATTTTAAAGGCATTAAGTTAATTCAAATAAATTCAAATTTTTTTCTAAAAATCCTATCAAATGAAGTTCTTCGATACCAAAAAACTTAAAATGCAAAAGATATCAACATTTAAAAAAAAAGTATCGAAAAATAATTGGTTCGGTAGAAAAATAACCACATTAATATGTGTAGTTGGTGGCGTAGGTAGAAACGTTTTATCTTACGAGATAATCATACAGGGTGTTTACGAACCTGGAGACAGTTTATAATGATAAGTAGGCTGCATTAATAAATAAGCATTTCTAATAACCGAATCCGGTTGAAACTGCAAAACGGTGCTTAAAATGAATAACAAATAAAATCGCTAAAACTTATTGAGGACCTCTGTAATTTTTATCCACATAAAAAAGGTGAGTTGTTGTGGCCGTAGATAACTCTTAACTCGCTTTTTTATCCCGTTTTTGTAATAAATGTTCGCCATAGCTAGTCGAGCTATAGATGGATCAGCGATTCCAAAAATGTTTCTTCATATCATTGCGGTAAGTCAGTAGGTACCTAAAAATGTGCATAGCTAACTCTGGGAATGATTTACTAACACTTAAACAACATGGAGGTTGGCGTTCTTTTTTTGTAAAAAATATGTCGAATCGAATTTTCACACCTTGGTTCACTTTTGTAAACTTTTTTAAGCAATATAACAGTTCACTTACCTGTATCTATATCCATAGTTCCCAATGCAGAGTCGAATCCAAGATAAATCTGCCTGTCTACTTGAGGATCCCTAAGTTCCGGCAGAATCTTATTTAAGGGTCGTACGTCGCCCAAACAAACCTTCCCAATTTCGCTCTTACAAAGGCTTGTTTCAAAGTGCCTTAATTTTTCGTCCTTCTTCCTCTCCGTCGCTTCAACGCCAGAACCTCCATAACTTATAACAGCGAGTCCATGGATTTCTCTACTGTTACAACTCGAGCTTGCTCTTAGGAAATAAGCGCCATCTTCCCTGGTTGTCTTTAGAACGAAATCGAATCTCTCACCCTTAGACAGTTCTGCAGAACTAACCTCGTAAGGATTGATCGGAGTTCCATCAACTGCGATAATTTTCAGTAAGTGTTTGTCGATGGAAACGGTTATGGGACAACCTACGGACCCTCCCGTATAAGCAACTCTGAACCTGTACCTCCTTTCCTTTTCAACATTGAAAAGAGTTGGAGTTGGTCCGGATACAGAGGGAGCTTTGCCGTTTACCAGGATCGCCTTTGGAAGCTCATCCTCGTCTTCGAACAGAGAAGAACGATCACCCGACCACTCTGAAAGCAAAATTATGTGGTCCTTGGAATCGACGTCGTAGAGCTTCCTGTGCGGCTCAAGTTTGTCTGCTTGCCTAACAATCAGAGCACCAAATAAACCATCCGTCCTGTCCGAGTCGGAATAAGCGTGGTAGAAGTGGGTTCCTGGAGACGACGCCCTGAATTTATACTGAAACGTCGTGTAGCTGAGAATAGGGCATTGTGTGACCATGGGAACGCCATCCATGAAAGGTGCCTCATGGTTGGGCTGGCCTCTCCAGTGCATCGTCAGCGAATGTCCTGGTATCTTGTTGGTTACGTCCACCACCAGGATGTCGTTTTGGCATACTTGTATGGCGGGTCCTGGTAGTTGGCGGTTGGCTATGATGATGCCCCTCAAGGAACCTTCTGCGCTGGTACAGTACGAGCTGCTGCAGTCTGTGGAGTTTTCTGGGCAGTCTTGGCAGTCTCTGAAAATGAAAGGATGCTTAACAAAACAAAGACTGGGTTATTTATTTTCGAAATCGAGTCGATTTAATTGAATCTCTTGACAAAGATTAATGTTCTGACAATGTTATACTCGGCAGACGTATTTTTAAAAATACAACTAACATAGATACTTTTTTCTTCTCAGGTTTAGGTCTGACATTGTAAAAACGATTTGCTTTTGCTCAAAAAATTCTATTGCATCATATAACATTTGAATCTATTTTCATCTTTTTTTCGAAGTCAAATTTGACAACTGATTAACGGTTGAAGCAATGTTTCTTGTGAATGACATAGTAGAAGAGTTTTTATAACAAAGTCTAAATTATTATAAATATTCCAATTAAAAACAGCTTCAAATGATTTTGCAATAGTTTACATTTTACAGTAATGGTAGGACTGTATTCCTCTAAAGAATTTGAAACCAGGTGCAAATAACAAATACATTGAACTTAACAATGCTTCTGGTAAATCATTAATAAAGCAAAGGAACAATAAAGGCCTCAGGTTTGAACCTTGCGGAACTGCGGAAAATGTTTTAAATTTGTAAGAGTATTATTATATTTTATCATAAATCCTCTATCTTCGCTTTCTGAAAATCAATATAAATTAGATCAACTTGTATTTTACTTTCAAAGATCTGAATGAATGAAATTATTAAAAGAAATGCGAAATATTAAGGCGATTTTTTTTATATAAAGCTGTGTCCACCAATAATTATACAAGATTTATTCAAATAATTTGGAAGAATAAAGTTTTAAGGGGCTAAATATTATGAGAATTAAAGACGATTTCACTCGGCGCCATTTTAAAGTGCAGCATAAAATTTCATTGATAGAAAACTATGGGCTCTTTTTTATATCCTGAAATGTCCTTTCTTAATTTTAGTTTCACAATCGGCGCCTTATTTTAAGGTCTTTGGTGGTAGAAATCCTTAAGAATTCTTCATTTTAAGCTTATAATAGTGATGTTTATCAGTAATATCTAACTCAGGAAGGCAAAAAATTGTCTATCTCGTGAGTTTTAAAAATTGACTGCAAATAAACTGTAGATATTATTAAAAAAAAATTTATAACATATTTTCTATGTCTTTTTATATCACCGTTCATAACGATTTATGCATGATGCATTTTGTTCAGAAAAACACTAAAATTTCCTTTTCTTGAAGTCTGTACTTCCCGTCAATAACCATAAACTGTGCCACCAATAACTACAACAAACGATTTGCATATGCAGTATAATCTATCAATTTCCGCTACAAAGTAGTTTTATTCAGTATTTGCGGTTCAATCAATGACTAAATATTCTGTAGAAATCGTTTTACTCACTGGTTCACTGTTTGGTACATTTCTATCGTTAATTTAACCCTACATATCATAGGCCAGTCTAGATCATGGCAGGGTCTATCACAGCTTTTGAAGTTTGGATCTGAAACAAAATACAATCATATAAGAATGTCTATTGTAATAACTTTATCCATACAGGTCGATAATAGCGAGGAACACGAGTAGGAATACATTTTTTGAAGTGATAAAGTACAATTTACCATTAAAAATTTAAATATATGTTAATTCGAAAGCGAAAGCTGTTGTTCGAAGAATTGAACAATTGTTTTTAAGTATACCTATACCCTTACTATAAATAGACATGTTCAGCATTACCATTACAAGGTTGAAAGAAAGTCATATAGCAGGTACCATTAATACAAACGAGGGAACTTTCACCATTCTTGATTTTTAAGTCCAATGATTTTTACCAAGCTGGTTATCATAGTACAAATTGCGGCTTTCTTTTTTAGAGAAATTGTAAGATTAACGGCACAAAAGGGGGATAAAGAAATGTTCCGAGACAAGTTATTTCCATTTGCGTTTTTGGAAAGAAAGTGAATTTGTCTAAAATTTCGTCTGATGGTTATCGTAGGTGTCGTTTGTTAATTTAGAGATTTGATACTAATGTATTTTTATTGCATTAATAGCTTATTGGTTTCTGTTCTGATGTTTTAAAGATTTGTCCTAAATAAAAGGGTGTTTTATTATAGTTCTGTGACTAAGTAATTGTTTTATATGCATGTTTGAATCTGATGATTGCTTGATTACTGAATTTATTAAACTGGTTATAAAGGTCGTCCACAAAATTCGGAAAATGTTGAAATTGACCTACTGATATTTTAGTAGAGGTAAAACAAAAATATTTGCAGTATTTCTACTGAAGAACAAATTCTTCCTTTTTCTTTATTTTTAATGTTCCTGATTTTTTGATGTTATTTAGTACCCATTTAGAGTCGCTTTCATGATTTTTTTTCAAATTTTTATTTCAAACTTTCAAGAATTCTCAAAAAATCGTCTTTCAATATGCAAATTTATGAGACAGGTTCTAGAATGGGATCTTTTTTATTCAATTTTTTTAATTAAAAAATTTTTTTGATATTTCAATTTTTTACAATGTGCGCTATTAAACCAAATTTTTATTATAGAAATAAACCGCGATGAGTAATCTTTAATAGTACCATATTTTTAAAACAATTTCTACTAATTTTGTCATTATTAAATATCTAAATTATTATTAACTAAACATTCCGATTTTTTTTCAATATTCAAAAATTTATTTTGCATAATGACAAAATACTGGTTATATTTTTGACCATTTGGATTTAGTAAAAACATTTATATCATAATTAGTGTCCAATAATTTACCACTTTTGCATATAAACATCGGTCGAGAAATGCTTCCTAAAGGAGCCACACCCTCTAAATGGGGCCCAAAAAAATTTTTATTTTACATTTCCGAAATGGGTTGAAGGAAAATTATGAATTCTGACACCATGAACGCTCACTAAAAATCGAAATAGATCATCATAAAATTTTTCAAAAATTTTGACCAGGGGCGTCTCAATTGGGTGGGTCGTCGGATAATATTTGCCCCAATTATTTTTGCTTGTCGAAATTTTCAAATACAGAGGCCAACATATGATAGACCTTCATTTCCTCTACAAAAAAGGTACTCTTTATTTCTTTCGATAAAATGCTCTATTTCCAAAATAAAAATTTAATTAAAGAAAAAGTCGTTTGTTTAGGAACAACGAGGTTATTATAAAACACATTTTATAGTAGAGTACTTTTTTCTTAATGAAATAGTCCTGACTATCCATTGCGAAAGCTCAGCAAACAATCGACTCTGTCGAATAAAAAAAAGCGACGAGTAGCAGAGAGTGTTCAGCAACACAAAACTTTGATTTATATTTTCGAAATGCAATTATTTTCTTTGATATCGCGAGGAAATTTCCTACAACTTTGTTTCTAACCATTTTTTCCTAGATAGAAAGGTAAAAAAGAACAGGGGTAGGATGGTATGTGGACAACACTGTACACATTGCAAGAGATCTTGAAAAATTCAATATAACATAGTAAAAGAAAAGCAAAGAATCTTAAGCGGAAACTACTCAAAGCCTGCTAAAGCAAATAAATACTTATACTCACGGCATCAAGTACGTGTTGCAAAAGAAATTGTAATATTACTGGAAATTGGGGTCACATCTTACACAATTTAAGTTTTGTAAACCTCTCTATGATTCTCAAGAACGTGTTCTACCTACATATACAGTATGTCCGCGGATTGAGTTTACAAGAGGACAAATGAACAAACAGTGAAAGATATAAAAAAGGCATTCTTGATAAAAGCTTTTGCTTGAAAAATGAATAAGAGTCACGTTGTCAAAAATTTAATTAAGCCTCTCTAGCACACCTCTAATCAGAGTATTTACAGGGTGTTTTTAAGTGAAGTAGCAAAATTGGTACCGGTGAATGTAGAGCCAAAAATAAGAGGATTGAAGTAAAAATACCTTATATGAAAGTTGCACCGCTGAGGCGATATACCCTCTTGAAACATTTAAATTTTTTTTAATTTTAATAGTTTTCTAGTAAAAAAATCAGATGCGTCATCGTTCACTAAAGGGGTAATTGCGAAAATTAATAAATAAATTGTTATTTATCATATTAATAAATTGACACTTTCTGTCAACCTATAATTAATACCAATTGATTAATTCCGTTTAAAACAAATCGTTTATGTTACTCCAATACCAAATAATATTGAAATGCTAAAAGACAGAATTACCCAGGCTGTCCATTCAATATCCCAGGAAGAAATCAGAAATTTCTTCAGATATTTAAGAAAACAATTAGAAAAGTGTGTTCAATATGGGGGTGGCGTTTTTGAAATTTGATATCTTCATCATATTGCTTTGTTTACTTTTTTTAGCTTAATTGTTGTAATTATGTTCGTATTATTTAAAAATTACACTTGAATGAAGACGTATTTTAGTTTTGTACTTTGTTACCTATATAAAAAATTACATTTTTGATAACGTAACCTTTATTCATTTTTCAAGCAAAAACTTTTATCAAGAATATCTATAGAATATTTTAATATCTTGCAAAATAAGGTATGTTTACTCTTACGCAAAATAACATTTTTGTGTTTTTGATCCACCTTGTATGACAAAATTGAGGTTCGTTATGGTGATTCATATTTTCTAAACAAGCAAATACTTTTATCAATAATGCCTTTTTTTGTCGTATCTTTCACTTTTTGGTCCATTTGTCCTCTTGTAAAGTCATTCCCCGGACATAATGTATATACAGGGTGATCCACTAATTATCTCTTTCTTGAAATTTAATCCGTTGTTGTTACGATATTTGAATGGGTCAATAGCAGAAAATGCTATCAGAAATACAATTATTGAACTTCAATTTAATAATATATAGCTGAAAAACCGATTTGTTGAGAAAATATATAATATATTTTTTATTTTTTAGTAACCTCGTATATTTTAGTTGAATTTTTAAATGCAAAACCAGTGATATAATACATCATATTTTGTCGTTTTATAGGCGAAATAATCGACAAAATATGTTCATGCATATCACAAACACTTATTAAAAAAAAATTGAAATTTTAAATAGTACTTTGGAAATCTGTTTTATTGTTTACAGAAAACACCACTGTTAGCGCACCTCACAGGTATTCAATACATAATTTCTAACTCAATTAAAATACACGTGGTTAATACGAGTACTAGTGAAATTACTTTCCAGCCAAATTGTAGCGGAACAAATGAATGACTATCGCCGAAATGTTTTTAAGTATGTAGTTAAGTTCTTATTTAATTTGAGAAAATACTATTCTGTACTTTGATCTTCTCCTTTCTTTTTTTTATGCCAGCAACGTAGTTGCACATATTAAATCTCTAATGGGTTTACTTCTATTTGTTCGATAGCTTTTAGCTTAAAATATTTAAATTAACACTCACTTTACCGCGATAAAAAGTCACTGAACTGTATTTTGAAATATTAAACTAAATGTTCGAGTTCGAGTAATGGTCTAGTCGACATTTTTTCCTGAGCTTATCTTCTCGAAAGTTAAAATCACAGGGATCTTTCAATATCTTGTTTTACTTAAGATTAAATAACGTACAAAATACAGATCAATTTTAACAACAATTTACAATTATTTAAAATACTACATATGCGAGGACTTTCTGAAAATTAAAAAACACACTGTACTCTAACAAACCTAATATGAAAATAACTTGAAAAAATGAGAAAACTAATACAAAATAGTTGTTTACTAAAACAAAAACAAAGACGCACATGCTAATGAACTCAGATGTTCTTTACAAAAATCGCAACAAAGTATACTTAAGCCAAATAGGTATATTTTTTTAAATCTCGAATCAATGAGCATAAAATAGACTGTTATAACGTTTTAAAAAATAAAAAAATTAGTAACAGTTCTTGCAAAAAATGGTTTTTATTAGTTTTATATTTTTTTCTATGATAGTACAGTAAAGGTGATAAATTCTCTGTCAGATCTTTTGATAATTTTATTAATTTTATTTTGAATCATAATTTTTTTTATATGCTGCATTATTGCCAAACTTAAGCAGCATATAAAGAAAATTATGATTCAAAATAAAATTAATAAAATTATCAAAAGATCGCCAGAGAATTTATCACCTTTACTGTACATCATAGAAAAAATTTTAGTCCCTACCTACAGACTTATCTTTCAGCTGGTATGGTTTACTGTGAGGATGCTTTTCTCAATAACGCACCAAGAAAAAGGGGAGTAAGTGAAAATTGTCTTCCAAAAGAAAGGTTTAATAATAAGATTTTCCCTGTTGAATTGAGAATATATTTCCTTATTTTTACGGCGGCTCAAAATCTTAGAGGGAGGGGGTTCTGGCAATTTGGTTGTACAAATATATTGATATTTCCCTACGTTTTTGTTATTACCTCTATTATGTCTGGTATACACTGTTATTAACTTTTATATATATTTTTTATAATCCCTATATAACACTTGTAATTCTTTTGTTTTATTTAAGAATCCTGAAGATGTCTCAATAAAGGAAAGAAACGTCGACATTTAGAAAATTCGTACAACTATGTATATTGATTTGGCTACTAATTCTACAAATTATTATAAACATTTAGAGTCTTACCTGGAATAGGAGTAAAATATAGCACGGTAACCACTGCTGCTACCATCCCCAGGACAATGGACGCCCTAAGCACCAAACTCGAAGCACCAGACATCTTGGAACCTCTATTATTACTGCACCGATTTTCTACCATTACACAAGTGTTTGTTTATATTTCATATGTACGGCTTCCGATGAATTCTTCATAAACAGTCTATTCACTATGTTAAACTCAACCGGTATTTAATATAATAATGCGGGAATAGTTGTATTTACATTGGATAGGTAGATAGGATAGGTTAGGTTAGGATACCACTAGCTTGGAACTTTGAAGATACGATGTTTGTGTGGCTGTCACGCTTATGGAAGAGTAGAGTTATTGTGGTCGAGGAATAATTTTACCACAGGTACTCCCACTTTACGTATGGATCTGGGTAGAGCATTGGTATAATATGTTTATTCAAGGCAGTGAAAGTTTTTTATATAATAACCGCCAGTGAAGCAAGGAAGGTACTGTTGTGTTTTAAGCATCTGAACAATGAATTGCTGAGGTGTTTTTGTGACGTACGAATTTACTATTATTCGCTTTTTTCCTAGACTACTATCAAATGAAATGGAAAAATGTTCTTTGAATCCAAAAATCTAAGTACGTAAAAGATATACAGGGTGATTTCACTTTAAATACAGAAACTGCAGGAATAGATTAGTTACCATGAAATAAGTATAGTTTGCTCATAAAAATTTCCTAAAAATTTATGTGAGTATGATGATATAATAAATTTTTTTAAATTTTATAAATGTGAACTCGGATACCTGTGTATATTATTAAAATACTTACTAAAATCAGTTCACAAGTGCTCCAAAAACACAAAGATGATGGTAATTTAACCGCTTCGAAAATTTTACCGAAAAGATGCGATTCATTTTTTTACCATAACTTTTGTAATTTTAAAGTTATAAATTTACTCAAAAACCCATTTTCTAGGGAATTTAAAGCACTTTAAGTTCTGTGATTTGCAGTTTTTTTGAGCCCTTCGTTTTTTAGATTTGTAAGCTAAAAGGGCTCAGGAAAGGCAGTCTTGGAGCTTAGTTTTGAGCTTCTAATGGTCATAACTCAGTCAAAATGTCCTACAAAAATTAAAAGAAGCAAATTGTTCAGTAAGAAAAAAAACGCAATTTCTTATTCTATCATTTTATTTATAACTGTTAGTTTTTGAAATATTGTGAAAAAAGGCGATTTTTTTTAAAAATTGAAACATTTTATTCAAAAGTAGGTAAATGAAATATTTTTTTAAATTTAGGCCTCTAAAATCGTTCAAATTCCCAGAATCTACTGTTAATACATAAATAAAGTAAATTGGAGAAGGAATGCGTTTAATTTTTTTTTCACCGAGTCATTAATTTTAATATCAATTTTTTTTTCAAATATCAAGACAATCATTTTATTTTGATTGTAACTTCATTAGTTTTCATGCTAACGACTTTTACCACCACTCAATTTAAAAGTGTTTTTAAGAACTTTAATAAGTGTTATATAAGTTTTCCTCAAAAATCCTTTAATTTTTCCGCTACAGGACGTTGAACGATTCGATTATAGCTATCTTCGAAATTGACTTCAACTTCTGGGAGTCATAACTCGGGTTCTATACCACCTACAAAAATAAAATCTCTTTGCTATTTAATTACCTTCATTTTTGCTTATGATAAAACCTGAAGTTTTTGAGATATTCGCCAAAAATGGCTCAAAAACATGCATTTTTTGGACTAAAAACGAACACGTTTAGGCGCAAATAACTCAAAAAATATTGATTTTTAATAAAAAAATTCCATCCCCCAGAAGGGGTGGCATCCACCCCTAGTGTAAAAGCACACATCGGCACTATATAACTTTTGTTTCTTGGGCTATTCTCTAGTTACAGTTCAAATTTCACGTCAATCTTTCTTGTCTTTCCAATATAAGTATAATTTTTTTAATTTTGAAAATCAAATCATTATTTGGGCACGACAACAAAGTCCGTAAAGTATTGTCTGAAAAAACTGTTTTAATATTAAACAAAACAGATTAGATAAAACTAATAACCCTTGACTAATTCTTTTGGCGCAAAACTTTTCAATTAATTTAATTTTTTTCACAGGTAGCAAAGTACCTAAAATAGATAAGGAGAAAATAGATCTTACCATTGCTTCTCTTTCCTTAAAGCTTTCAAAAGATCCTAAGTAAATTTTTTACATTTCCTTGCAATATACAGTTCAGTATCAATGATTATTACTCTCAGGATTATGCCAATTCATCTCTGAACTCCAAAGTTCAGGGATGGGTTTTTATAAATGTCAGGATTTTCGAGATTATCAAAGTATATTATTAGAAACATTAACAAAACATATTTATTTTATTGATACGATTATATAAATAGTTAATTTCTATAAACAGATAAATTTAGAAGAGTCGTGATTGTAGTGCAAACATTTAAATTTTCTTAAGATTCTTTTTTTATACAAAGATCAGAGAAGGATTGTTTCCTGGTTCTTTGCATAGACTGACATTCTATTTGCTCTTCTCCCTTTAGAAGAATCGAATATTTGGCTTTAGGAAAAAATATATTTTCTGCTATGAAAATAAAGCATCTGTTAAAAATAACTGAATACAGTGTCCCAGTGTCAGCGTACGAAAATTTACCAGGGGGTAGACCAGACCAAAATAAGATTAAAATTCTTATAAAATATTTTTCTGCAATGCACTCTCACTGAGTTACAGGGTGTTGTTTAGAAAAAATAATAACAACTTTCCGCAATAACTCAAAAACCCTTTCAGGGACTTAATTTTCCTCAATCTGCAATCGATTCTGAACAAAAAATGGGCTCTTGTTCTATGGCTCAAAAATGAGCCTTTTTCGAGTAAATTGGGTCTAAAGTATCGACTGCATTAGTTCGTAGAAAATTGCATGTAAAGATTTTATTTGTTGTTATCTAGAAGGTACCCGTCATTATAAAAACAAAGTTGTTTACCGTTGAGGTAGAGTTTCCCATTCTCAATGAATATGAAGAAACTAAACATGTAATTATGTTAGCAAAATAACAATATTAAAAATAAAAACAGAAAACAATTATTTAAATAAATGCTTGAAATGCCGTCCATTTACTTCAATGCTTTCATGCGACATCGTTTGTCCAGTCCAAGGAATTAATTGAGTATTATAAACGGGTAAAATAATTTAATTTATCCTATTTGTACTATCAAAACATTTCAAACTGTTAAACACTATTTTTTTAACATTTCGTTATTAGGGGTAGTTTTTTAAGGCTTGAAATATTGTGATAAATTATTATTTAAAAGACCATAAACTATTGAAAAGGTTTCTATCTATAATATATGCGCTATAAAAATATTTTAAGGCCAAAGAAACTATTCCTTACTGCCATTCTCGTATGTATTCCCTCCTTTTATTGTAATTTAAATATTAAGTTGACTTTTATTAATAGTTCTGTATAGGATTTATGTTTTTTAACTTATGTGTTATGACAGCTGTTTTACAGTTCAAATTTAAACTAAAAATTGACATACCACATTTGTACGAATGTATGGAAACAGTGGTCAAATAAATATCTACCTATCTATCTATCTATTAATTTTATAATTTTATTATTAAGGATGGTCCAGGACTGCTGGAAAAGTGTGTGAATAGGAGAGGAGAGTACTTTAAAGGAGACAAAGACCAATAATGATAAAATTAATAATAAAGTTTAAAAAAATAAACTTTATTTTCTGGACAGACCTCGTATTTTTATTTCTTATATTCTACCAACATAGAACAAATCTTCAGCAACATATCTAAATCTTGTATACCTAACTAAGGTCAGGTATGAAAATGACGTCATTAATGATCTTTTTAAAGAAAGTGCATGTATGAAAGTACAGAGATTAAGATACAGAAACGAAACAAGTTAATTTAATTAATCTGCTACATCGTGTTTATAATTTAACTCATTCCCTAAAGGAGAAATTACACGACCATTAGCATTAAACGCAAGTAGTTTCACTTTCATTGATAAGTAAAATTAAGGATACCTGCCACACATACATACTTATTAATTATTTATATTCGTATCTTGCAAATTTCTACCTAGATTTCTATATTGAATATGCAACATAAATAAAGAAAATTATTTCGATCCCATTTTCTTTTTGTAATCATTTTTTTTATTTATTTCGTCTACAGTTATATTTTCTCCAGTATTAAACTTGAAGAAGTATTTTGCTTGATTAAAATACTAATTAACATTCACTTATTAGTGATTAAATTTAACAGTAGCTAGAATCAATAACAATAATGAAAGGAAACAATAATAGAATTCCCTAAAATAGATATAAATAAATATTTTTATCCACAATCACCTTATAATCGGACTTTTATCCACACATATGAACCGTCTAAAGTGATACTTTAGCCACTAGTGGAATAAAGTAACTTTATTTCACTAGTAGAATAATGAACCTATAATAAATCAAATTTAATTTATTTACTTCTCCAAAATGCCACATTGCCGTTGTGATAATATTACTAAACAAAATATCCCTCTTATTTATCCCTTTCGCAATTGTCATATGAATGATTGATATAAGGTGCCTATAATAAATTAGAATTACCTGAATCACACCAAATTCCGCATTGCTGCACTGCACTGCTGGGCAATTTATCAACCACATATCAACTGCTAAGATTTATTGCCCAGTAGCCCAATGCAGCTGTGCTTGTTTTCCTTTGTCCGCGTTCGTATTCTTCCACTGGGCGTATACATTTCTACCACCTCCACATTTAGTTCGACCAGACCTGTATATGGGTATGGCTAAATAAATATGGGAACAAATTTTCAAATATTTCAATGCCGCGTTGCTGCGTCAGCGAGCGAATCGGATATATACTGTCAATCTGTTGGTTCTTCAATTGATATCGGAAAGATAACTTTCCGTTCATTTCTGGACACCCTGTATACATCGGACACTATTTTTCTCAAACCGCTAGGTTCCAAAAAAATGTCAGAAGCTTGAAAAGGTTTATATTGAAAATATTTAAAAACATTACAAATGCAGGTATTAACATGCTCTAACAACTATATAAGTATATATTGTTGAATGAGCCACTCAGGCCTGCAGACCCGGCAATTCCTCCGAAGAAAGTGTCACGCCCTAAACCGCTACAAAAGCGATAATGTTAACCTAGATATTCTCGTAATTGAAAGAAACTCGCAGGGGAGATATTTACACAGTATCATTGGCCACACGACTGATAAGTCAATACTTTTTTTGAGCAGCTTAACTGTCTTGTTTGTGCCTCCTTCTAAGTAAACTTTTCCTTGCTGAAAGTAACCGCGAACTGGATTCGCCAAATTGACTTCCAATCGGCCTCGATTCCTCTAGTGGTACTTCCGATTGTTTCTCTGTTGCATTCGCTGCAAAAGATACAATCGACGTTGAATGATAAAAGTACACAGCCGGTTTGTCGAACTGGAGAGCAAGGTCAACAGTGCCGTTCTATTTTAAGACGATCTAATGGAAATGTTAGGTTGGGATAGTTTTACAATTTACAGAAGAACTTTTTTCTAACCACATATTCAATGCAAGTAGAAAACAGTTTTGTAAGTTTGGGAACGCCTCGAAACCTATTATTTATTCTAGAGGCATGTACAAAGATATAGAGGAATTTATTACTTAACTGACGATTCACAGAAAAAAATCATCTCATTAAATCCTATTCTAATATGAAGTTATAAATTTTCTTTGTTTTGAGGCTGAAATTGTTATTTGACTAATAAACTGTTCTGAAAACTCGAAATAACTAAATCTGTGCTACAATCAGCATTACCTTCATCGTCTGCAATGAACTCCTGTTCTTGTCCCTTTGATTTTTTGGGTATTCTTTCAAAAACCTGCACCAAGTGTCTTTCCAGCTTAGTAACATCCTTCACTTCTTCTATAGCAGTGCTGGCTGACCTTAACTTGTCCTTTTCCGACTTTGCCAAAACAGTTCGAAGAAGGTAACACAATGAAGTATCCATAGCATCCTCCCAACCCTTAAACGCACCGAATTGAACTATATAGATTGTGGGAAAATTTACAGACTAGTTCATCGTTTAACACTTGACATTTCAAGATGCTTATCGCTCCTTCTTCAGAAGAAACTGTAGATTAAGACCTCTGGCCGGTGTTTATATTTATTGTGAAGAGAGCAATATGCTTCTCGAAACATTAAGAGGTCCAAGATCATTTAGGTGCCTATTCAGATGATTGCAGACGATTTACATGCATAATAACAAATTCAACTTACTTGTGAATCCATATCGTGAACGCTGCTGCAGAATGTCGATACCAGGAGCTCTCTCAGTTCTTGGTCAATGTCCATTATTGTTAGTAGATTCTGTACTATATTTAAGGCGCATGACAGTTCCACTTGGGCTTTTGTTAACTCATTACAAGCATATTCTAGTTGTTCTGTGGCATTCATTATTTCCGTATAGGTGTCTTGCAACAATATTTCCAGATTTGTTAACGGAGTGGGATTTTTCACTTTAAACTTTGCTATTAACCTCTTCTGGACTATACGGAACTGAGCACTAAGCTGACACAGGTTGTCCTAAGACAGTTATTTATAAATTCATACGATCAAAATATATTGTATAAGTTTATTATAAAGTGCAAGTTCAATCATTCAATGTTCATTTCAACGCCAATGCAGCCAACTTAAATTTCTAGTCAAATTTAATTTTGTGTGAGGTAGCACGCTTTTCCTTAAAGATCTGAGCTAGCATGTTTTAGATAGCATGTTTTCCAAGCTCAATATGAGATAGCATGTTTCCGTAGTAACGCATCGATATGTAGTGGGTTTCCCTTTGTCTTTTCACTCATAACCTTGCATCATTCCCTTTTCAACATCCAACAGAGAAACGGAAGAAGAACAGCAATACGATTAGGGTAACGATGACAGTAAAATGGACAGTGGAAACGAATATATGTATATCTCGTGAGAGGAAGTAAATATTTAGCTAAAGAACTGAAAAGGAAAAACGAGGAAGATGAAGAGGAGAAGACAATGGGTGAACCATGCAAAATCTGAAGATAGGAAAAAATTCTGAAATTTACGTAATTTTAATGGATCTGTAAACTTTTATATGGAAGAATTTTATTTACAACCGCTGTCGCCGGAAGTAACAAAAAAAAATTGGTCCTTAGGCATATATTCGCATAATAACCTTATTTTGGGGGATTTGGAGAACAACTCCTCGAAAACGATTTGTGCTGGTGCGAAACTGACTTCAGTTTCGTGTTGAACGTAACAACAATATGGAGAACAGACTACTTTTGTATGTGTCTGTGATATTTAATTACTTACATTCTTAATTACGATAATGTTTCAAAACTGTGTTAAAAATTTATACTCACTTGTAGCTGGTTAACTCGCTGCCTTCTCTTGAAATGGTTATTTACGTACAAAATTACATCGTTAGCAGGCAACGAAGAGTTATAGAAAACATGGAATTCGCCGTTGTCCGAATAATGTGTTTTTAGGCGAATAATCATCAATTCAGTAAGCAAGCTTAACGAGGCAAATGAATCCGCTTGTAAACGGTATCTCCCTGATGATTTAGCTAGTAAAATTGTGACAGGACTTCCCGCGCCTGTGACGTTATTAAAGCCAATTACGCTGCTTGATTGGCTGAACGTTTCTCCGTCAACATACTCTGAAGAAAAAAAATTAATCAAATCTACACCTGGCTTTTAGCGGGTCAAAGCGCGAATGAAAGTTTAATTGCTTAAATACATAAACAAACAATTAATTTTTGGATAGCAATAGAACACTTAATAGTAAGAATATACAAGGTGTTAATGAACTTATGTCAAACGTTTTTGCCACATTTATTTTCCTGCACGACAGATGCCACATGTGCGTTATGTCAAACTGAGGTAAACACACGGATTTGTGTTAAGTAAAATGTAATTTTATAATTTTAAAATCTCAACATTGCAAGGAGCCATCTTTTGAGAACTGCTGATTTTCATAAAAGATGTTCGATGTTCGTTGTGAATTTTTTCACAGACAAAATAGCTATCGCCCCAGACGGCTACGGCAATAGGCCAGCAGTTTTAAATTTCCGAATTGCCGATAGTGTAGACCACCAGCAGAATTTTAGAAAGAATCAAATGCAACGGCCCGCATTCCTACGCCTATCCTAGCGACATATAAACAATACTTTGGGAATGTTGCCAGGCGTGCTTATGGATTTATTTTGTACACTTTTTTTATCAATATATGTTTTTTGCGTTACTGTATTTACTTAAATGTAGGGAATGATAAAAATGTTTTAAAGAATAAACGAATATCTATGTAGTTTCATATGATATTCTGCAGCGGTGTTATGTTTAACCATAATTTCGTTAATTAAAGTCTATTTGGAAATGAAAGAGAGTAATAAAACCCCGAGATAAGAACCGGCCATGGGCGTAGTAATATTTCGTTTCAGGTAATTATCGGGTAACACTAATGCTAACAAAAATGACAGGGATTGGAAAATCGACTATCTACAGACTTTCAAAGGAAACAAAAAATGAACAAGATACTGTAAATCCCCCAAAATCATCTACAGGGAGGTCAAAAGTCGTTATAGATGATTTCTTCAAAAATGTCATTCGCAGAAAAGTACACTCATTTTATTTTAAAAAGGAAATACCAACGCTAAACAAAATTTTAAGTGAACTTTCAGAGGACAACGTTTTGCCAAAAATCAGTAGAAGCAAATTATGGGCCGTCTTACGAGAGTTGAATTTTTGCTGGGAAAAGCAAAACAGGAAGTCAGTTCTTATCGATAAAGAAGAAATTATTTGTTGTCGAAGATCCTACTTAAGATCAATTAGAAAATTCCGTGACGAAGGGAGGAATATTTATTATCTAGACGAAACTTGGGTCAACGAGGGATATACTGTAACAAAAGTATGGCAAGATAAAAATGTAAAAAGTTTTCGACAAGCATTTTTGGATGGACTTTCAACAGGGTTCAAGGCACCTTCAGGTAAAGGGCGAAGATTAATAGTGACACATATAGGTAGTGCCAGTGGTTTTGTAGATGGCGGTTTACTTTTATTTGAATCTAAAAATACAGGTGACTATCACGAAGACATGAACGCAGTTTTCGAAGAGTATTTTACACAGATGTTGGATCTTATTCCTCCGGGGTCTGTAATTGTCATGGATAATGCCAGTTACCATTCACGGCAGACCGGGCGGACGCCTACGACTGCTTGGAGGAAAGCCGATATAATTCAATGGTTATCCGGAAAAAACATTTCTTTTGAAACAAATATGGTGAAAAAGGAACTTTTGACACTTGGCAATCTTAATAAAGATCAGAAAAAATATGTTATCGATGAAATGGCATCAAATCGCCAAATAACGGTACTACGGTTACCACCTTATCACTGTGAACTTAACCCAATCGAATTAATCTGGGTGCAGGTAAAAGGAGATGTAGCGCGAAATAATACGACGTTTAAATTAAGTGACGTGAAAATTTTGTTAAAAAATTCCTTGGAACGAGTAACTGCAGATAACTGGCAAAGATGTATACATCATGTACAAAAAGAAGAGGAGAAAATGTGGGAACTCGATTTAATTGACGTTACTGTGGAACCTATCGTTATCAATCTAGGAGACGAAGATAATTCATCAGAATATTCAGAGGATGAATTTTAATATACCTACTTTTTTATTTTCTTTATTGTACATTTATACACTACATTTACTCACCATAATTTGAATTTTTAAAATTCATATATTTTTGTGTGGAATAAAAGTCTATTCATTAAATTTAAATAAATATTTTGATAATAATATTGAATAATTTTATTTGAATTACTAAAAACCCTCTTAACCCGGTTATGATGCTTAAAGTAGCCTCATGTTTTGAAATGCCATTTTTATGTTGTTTACTTATAAGAGAAATGGACCGAGAAATTGAAGCGGCATAGACAAAGACGGATTGTCGGGGATTAAATTTTAGCTACCTGCTACAATTTAGTACAGTCCGATCGCACAAAGTACACCTCATCCTATACCGATAATACATAATATAAAAATATTGAATATAAGCACCAGTACTACATTTATTTACGATTTGCATACATAATAAGCTTTAATTACTCTCTTTCATTTCTAAACAGACTATAGCTACTATTTTCATTTTTTGGTATTGAAATACTGCAGAAAATATATTTCCAAATAAACAAAATTCGTAATGATATTTTAAACAGCTTGTAATATAATTTTTTTAATATTTGATGAATGATAAATTTATTTAATATACAAGGTGGGTTATTAGTAGGTACGTCGCGGAATGTAGGTACTTTTTTTTTGTATTATGACATCCACTTATAGGTTTAATAATTAAAGATAGAAAAAAACTTTAAATACAAATGTACCACTTTTCTTTTATTTCTTTTGACATCAAAATTTGCTGGCATAAAATATATGTTTAAAGTAAAAAAATCATTAAAAAAATTAAAATTCATTCGTGATACAGTAAAAAAAGTCTTATAACCACACCCCAGGTTGTGACTGTCTGTTCTGCGTTAAATGGAAAAAGTCTGAAGTCCGTCTGTCGAAAAACAAAAAAGTTTGTCAATAATTGCAACAGCAGTAGCGAACGCATTATCTTATCACTCATTGATTGATGATTTGTTGTTTTTTTTTAATAAATTTCGTATAAACCACCCCTTGAGGTTCCAACAATTTTATTAACTAGAAAATTAAGGTACTATTCTTAAGAAAATTGTACATTTTTTAATTTTTTTGAAATACTAAAGAATTAGTTAGGTAAATTCATAGTTTTAATTCTAACTTGATGTATTTTATTTAGCATTTAACACAAATATTATTTCCAAACAAAAGATAAGTTCCATATAACTCTTCAATTACATAATTAAATGCATTAAAATTTATTTGACAGTTATTATTTGTCAACAAAGCCACCGCTAGAACTGTCTCCTATTACCGGATAGAAGAGTAACCACGCTAAAGAGTGACCGCAAAAAACCTGTGATATTCGCCCGTTTTTTCACAATTCGCAAAGAATTAAAAAAAATACATAAAAATATGTTGTTGGTCGCAAATTACATGTCGTAAAAAACTGAAATGAATATAGCTTTTAGTATTTTGAAAATTTTAAAAATCACCCCTACTTAGTGGTTGAAAAAATGCAAAAATGAAGAATTTGAATATTACCAATTGATATAAAAACTATTAGCATGTGAATTATCTTAATATATTTTTTTGGAATTTTTACAATTATTTCTGATATTATCTATTTTGACGATGATTCCACCCTCTGAGCGCATTTAATGGTGGATTTTCTAATTCAACATGCTTATTTCAGTCATGAGAATAAATCTTTCTTTGTATCACGAATTATTCGATAGAAAAATTCACATGCTAATAGTTTTTATATTTATTGGTAATATTAAATTCGTCACTTTGGGCGTCTTTTCAACCTCTAAATAGGGGTGATTTTTTAGAATTTTCAAAAAACTAGTTTGAGATCAAAAACATATTTTTATCTATTTTCTTTAGTTCTCTGCGAATTGTGAAAAAACTGGCGAAAATCACAAGTTTTTTGCGGTCACTCTTTAGCGTGGTTACTCTTCTACACTCTTATATTGCTGGATGTCGACCAACAGGACTCTGCATCCTTTTTAGGTTGCCAATTTCCAGCATTTAAAGCGCGGTCTGAGGCGGTAAGCTATACTGTTTGTGATTTTTTGATACTGAATTCGAATCCGCAGCCTAAAATGCCCTGGTAGATCGGTTTTTGAGCTGCGGATTCAGATCAGCATAAAAAATACACAATATTTCTTGGCAAAATTAGTATTATTAACTTTCCTGGACAAGTTTAATTTGTACTAGGAAGTGGAAAGCTGATATCGAAGTTAGCCGCGCACTACCCTTTACAAAACGATCTAAATTATACCTGAATAATAATAGCCTTGCCGGACGATTTCGAATATGTATTCGAAACCACGGGAACCTCAAATCCCTTTCTCTACAAACTTGAAATAGGGATTTGCAAGATAATAAACTCGATTAATATTAATTAGGCTGGCCCGTGTAATCAAAGCTTACTCACCTGGGAACAAGGTAGCCAAGGATACTGGACTCTGATTTATGCTTATTGTAATTCTATGAGAATTGTCCTTCTGGGGCTTGCACAACTGATACACTAAATTGACGGGCAAAGCTGATGTCTTAAACAGTGTTCTTGGTACTCCTAGGCTCGATACAGCCGTAGCTACAACTTCGATATTTAAACTGGGGACCTCGCACACCTCGTTAAGGAAAACGTAGTAAGTGAATGAAGTTTTTTCTGATAAATTAGTATATAGCTGCACTTGGGGTACCGCTGTTAAAGGGTTTTGAACCAAAACGGAAATTTGTACCTCTTCATAGACTGTATGAGGAAAAATATCAACGGTAACTGTACACATCTGGTGATTTTCGCTGTCTTTTATGTTACTGTCAAAAGTGCATGGTACCAAATCAGGGTTCACTTTAAGCTCCATGGTTAGTTCTTTATCTGCACCAGTTTTAGATAATTTCAGATCTAAAAAATTATAATCTTTCAAAATCTTTTATTTTGTTACTTTCGGGAGAAACAGAAATATCCAATTCCGTATGGAATTAATCAAAGATTAATATTTAACAACCAAATTAAAAGTGACTGTATTTTTGTTCTTCACTCATTCTCAGTTTTTAAGTATAAATAAATGCAAATTAAAAGAAATATTTTAAACACAAGCTTTTATTAGAATGCACCAAAAAGAAAAGAATAAACCAAGGAATTCATACAACCCGTAATGTGTAAACCAAACCAATAAAGGGGTTGATTATGGCTAATTTCGATACTTTTTTATTCCAAATTCACTGTTGGTTCTTGAAATTAAGCTCAAGGGAAGTTTAACAAAGTCCCTGATCATTAATTTTTACATTTCACAGATCATTGTCAATATTTGAACTAGGCAAATATTAATACTAGGCAAATATTAATACGGTTTAACTTTAACGATATTGATCATTTAAATTTTCATTTTCTTGCTGAAATAATGACTAATGCTCTCACTCTTATTTATATGTCTCTAATGACCCTAAGTATCTACCTAAATCTACCTGAAAGAAAACTAAACAAAGGCTAAAGACAATTAATAATTATTGATAGCTCGTACCTTGCCAAATTTACTTACATTGAGTTCTTAACATTTTGAAATTTCCAAAAACAATGAAATACCTATATGATTTTTCTGTCAGTACCTGAAGATCCTTTGAGAAACCTCTAATTACATCAAAATATCTCAAAAACTTTCAAATATGTGTAAATACCGCGAAAGATCAGATTTCAGTAACAGGGTATAAAAGATCAATGTCTTAAACACTAGAGGTCTTTGATTTTGAATCTCTGGGGCAATTGACCATTGACCCCCAGAATCTTTGACCTATGACTCCTACAGTCATTGATTTTTTACTCTCTAAGTCATTGATCTTTGACCCCCAGGATCACTGACCCATGACCTATGGGCTTATTGAACTTTGACACCTGTATGCATTGTAAAGGTGGTTTCAACTATTTGCTTTTATTTAGAAACATTTTTTGCGAATTTTGTATTAGATGTCCTTAAATAAAATTGCATTAGGATCTTGGAAACGACTTTAGGGGACGATTTTCCTTTGACAGGGTGAAGGTTATCTTGAAATAAAATTTCATCTATTGAAAATTTAAATAAGACCCGTTCTCAAAATTGCATGTATGTCTGCTGTATCTTTTCATTCATAATCATTTTTACATCAGGACAGGAATCAGACTTACCATTTACATATGATCTTTTAATGATCCTATTCAAATTATTAAGTTCCTCCTCGGCCTTTTCAAAATCTATTTCCTTCGAAGCTATAGGTGGTGCAACAAATAAACTCGGTTCTGTGCCTAGGTAACAGCATTCTAGCCTACCTTCTTCTGACAATAGAACTAGAGCCCCCTTTATTGCTTTTAGGAACGCTCTTCTTATTGAGATGGGTAAAAATGGCAGTTGGGCAGACCACTTCAACGTGGTATTTTCGTATACTAACAGGGTACTAGTTTCGGATATCACTATAGAAAAAATGTTGTCGTCTGAAACAGATAATATTTTTACCATTACATATAAAACAATTATATTTCCTAAGTATAATTTTTTTTGGAATCTTAAAGAGTTCCTATACAAAAGGGAAAAAATTGGAGATTATGTCCTAATCTATTTATGAAAGAATAATTTGGAAGTTTACGTTTACATAAACGTAAAAGTTTCTTACTGATGACATATACGTTAAAACAAATTGGTGAGTAATCTAGTCGTTTCATGAATTTAGCATTTCCTTTACTGTTCAAGCAGAACAGATTTCTTTCACCCAAAACCATTATCCACGCTTCTTTGTTCATAAAATCTTCTATCACAACTATATCTACCACTGATTCGCCCAGATTGTAGCTCCAGTCACAATTGATTTTTCGCGTTGAGTTAACTTTTGGGTCAAATTTTTCCCCTGCCTCAGATAGCGATTTGTATCTGAAAAATATAGATACTAAGAAACGTATATACTTTTAAATGATTTTAATGCAACTGTATTTTATTTAAAACAGAACAAACACCTACTTGTATGATACTATGCACCAGTTAGAACTACTCGTCACAAAGTCATCAGTCTTGCTCACGTAGGCAATTGGACCTGGTAGGAGGAAATCTGGTATAAAACAGCAGGAAGCGACGTTCTCTTGCTCAAAGAAATTGAGCATTCCATCTAAAGACTGGACACAGATAAAATCTCTGTTCTGGGTACCTCCAAACGGACCTATTGTAAAATTCGCTGCAGATCTCCTAAGGCTATGTTCGTAGAGATGTTCCAAGTCATTCTGAGTACCTACAGATTTTTTTTCGGGAAAATAAGATGCGTAAGTTTAAGTATTATTAAGAGTTACCGTGATCTGTAACACCCTCTTTTGATTTGAGTGCGTAAATACACAACGCTCTTGGGTGAAGGACAGCTAGTTGTAAGTTTTGCGATCCCCTTAAAAAAAATTAATATTTGTTAACGCAAAATATGCTCGATAGTTTATTTATATTTTACATTATTTATTCAATATCACAAAGCAATAACTATATTGTCTCTGACAGGTCAGGTTTTTAGTTATCAACACAAAAGAACCAATGCTCAGAGATTTTTTAAAACAGAAGTTAAGAGAAGAGTTTTTAACTTGTGTTTCCTAAGTAATACATTTTTTTAAACATTATGAATAGAAATTAAAAATTGCCCACACCGAACGGATATTTGGTTTGAATATTAATAGAAAAAACGAAAGTAGTTCCTATCATAAGGATCTCTAGAATAAGCCCTACTTTTTTTTATTCCACCTCAGTTCTCGTCATTAATCAATTGAAGCGCATTGTTGTATTCAGTTCCCCTTCCATTTATGGTACTTTCCAATAAATATTTTGGAATTTCGCGAACGATATGTATATTTCGCCATTTCATAGTTTCTAATCGTGTGTTTTCTAATCACGAGTTTTTGCTGGAGCATCGATTGCAACTTGTCGGTAAAGCATTAAACAAAAAAATCGCCATTTATTTAAGTAAAGAGCATTTAAACATTTACGAAAGATGATGTCCTTCCACTCTAAATAATTTATTTGCGATTATACAAAATTTGGCATAAAAAAATGTTTTTCACCATCGTGATTTTTAAATATTGTTTATATTACAAATTCTTGCTATAAAAAACGAAAAATTTGATTATCTTACAAACAGGAGCAGCTAGGATTTCAATTGAAACTGATTTTGAATCTATTTTCAAGTACAAATACATTAGTTTTTGTCGTCATTTTTATGCGATATAAAGTTGCTTTCTGCCCACCGTGTGTATAAGAATAAAGTTATTCATTTGTTATACTTACGACACCAGGCGACCACAGCCTACTTGTAAAATTGGATCATCAAATATTTTTTCGAGCAACAAGTCTGTCGCACTAAAACCACCCACATTATTTTCTTCTAACTCAGTGGAAGGTTTGAAAATCCTCAAGACGCCACTGTGACTACCGGTAATAACGAAATCACTATCACTGTTCAAAGTTGTCGTTATCAACGAATTCTGGTCGAAATATTCCCCATCTTCACTTTGAGCAGTCCAGAATTCCCTGACTCTAAACAGGGACATCCTTAGAAATAAACAAGAATATAAATACGTAAGTTGTATAAATGATAATGAATAATATATGCGCATAGAAATAAAAGAATTGGTTAGAAAAATATTGATTTGTAAGAGAATGTAAACATTGCCTGAAAAAATCAATATATGACCGTCATTTGTGTAAAATACCTACAAGGAATAAGTTCAGTTAACTTAGAGTAGATATTTGAAAATGTTGACTTATTTTCAAAGTTAAGAATAGTTTTTGCCGTAGATTTTAGGCAATATAACTGGTCTGTGTTAGATAAAAAATCGAAACATGTAATGCAGAAATTTGACATGAAATAGTGCCCTATATAAAATAAAACTAAGTATTCATACTGCCAATTTTGTTACTAAACATCGTAATCAGAAGATGTAATTACCTAAGTTAGATAACCAGAAATAAATTCTACAAATATTGCTGTTTAAAATCGTCTTATAAATCTAAAAACTAAACACGAAATTAATTTGTAACATTGCAATAAACATGACTGTCATTTTCAAACAAGCTAGAGGTTTATTACTGCACCTTTGATTATTAAAGTTTGACATGTGTCTGAAAGATGGCGCCTCTATCTAAAATAAACAGTCTTCTAAGAAGTATGTATGTATGTACAAATTGTACAGAGAGATCGAAAATGATTGACCGGATTCTGAACGTACCCTGTCTCAATTGCTATCAAAACAACAAAGAAGCTCAAAAAATATTTTCAATTCACAAATTATTAACATATATCCTGGTGTTACTTTCGTACAATCGTACATTAAAGTAGCAACTAATAATATAAACAGAGTAAAATAAAAAAATACACATCAAGTGTTGCCCTGACACAGCGACGTGACTATTATCAAAATATCAGGTTTTGTCAATTTGCAGTTACAAGTTTAGTGCTTCATTAATTATTACATACCTATCTACGTTTAGGTATTTACTATACTGTATATTTTCGTTGCCATTATATTTCCTTGTGAGAACCTGATGATGATAAATAATTGTTAAATATTTTCATTATTCAAAAAAATAAAAAGGTGTTTTTTACCAAAAATCGAGTCTACGAAATTTATTCTTATATTTATTTAATACTAATATTAATTTCTGTTATTTTGGCCACTTACTACAGCGGTACGTACCTACTACTGGCGCCATCTAGTTGTGACTGGAGCTAATTGTAAATTAATATCAATAGTATCCTTGTGGCATTGATGTATTTGAGTCAACTACTAGCTGGAAGAGGGGGCAACATACAAGTTGTCCTAATTTATAGGTGGTGTACTGTTTTCTGATTTTTAGGTCGTTTAGATTGGTTACATTGTTTAGATTGTATTAGATTGATTAAATAGTTTTATTAAATTCATTAAATAGTTTTTAGAAAGTATGTTTTTTACTCTGTCAATTCTGTTTGCAGTAATTGTTAAATAAACTAAATTTAAAATTGTAAATGAAACATTTCTTGTTAATAAAAGGTTGCTCCTAATTTCGTTTATCAGTGTTGAAAACAATTTTTAAACAAATTTTTTTATGCATTTGCAAATTTAAATGCCTGTTTGTTGAAAACGGTTGGCTTTAAAAAGATAATAACAGGGTACACCTTTTTTATGTAGAAAAGTTTCCAACCCAAAGTGAACAAAAAAGTTGTCAGTGTAAATGTGTCCTAATGGTCATCTATGGCATCCTCTAAATTCTAGAAGAGGCAATGAAATCGTCAATAAATTCGATTGTCTCATTCCAAAAAACTCCCAGATACGAAATTAGCTCAAATAGGCTATTGATTATATCCAAAAAAACAGAGTTAAAAGAAACAATGACGTTCAAGCAATTTTATTGCATGTATGAAAGGGTCATTTTAGATGAAAAAATCGCGAAATGCTACCAAATTAGAGGGCGGAAATTGGAAATAGGGGTGAAAATGCACCTGTTTCAATTTTTTAATTGTAGCTCAAAATCGAAGCAAAATTTCGCTATAGTTCATAGGAAAAATTATTTAGTGAATTGAATTTCCCATTGTAAAAATAATAAGAATTATAATCATAACGACGAAAATCTAAAAAATATTTAAGTTTGACCAGTTATAACTCAATCAATATTAGTCCAAAAACTTTTGAAAATTCATCATTTTGAAGGAAATCTGATCTAGTTTTTTTTGTACAGCAATTTTCTTTGCCTACTGCTACTAAAAAAAAATTAGAGTAAAAAAGTAAAAAAAATCAAAAAAATCTTTTTTTGCTTTTTTTTTAAATTGTTTATTAACGATTTTTTAAATAAAATTTTTCTTTTAAATTTTTTAAATAAGCCATTTTGATGGGAAATTCAATTCTCTATAAAATTTTTCCTATTTTTCAAATATAACACGAAATTTTGCTTCGTTTTGGTGCTATATTTGAAAAACTGCAAAAGTGCATTTTCACCCCTATCTTCAACTTCAACCCTCTAATAGCAATACCTGTACCTATCTTTACTTAGAAAAAAACTAGAGGAAAAAATGTAAAAAAAAAATAAAAAAAATTTTTTTTTATTTTTTTCATATTGTTTATTGACGATTTTTTGCATAAAATTTTCCTTTTAAATTTTTTAAATAAACCAAATTTGGACCATTCTTTAACGGACACCCTGTATATAACTTTATTCAATTATTTAATTTCTATAACTTTTTAGGACAATTTGCACTTTTGCAAGAACCATTTACACACTTTCTTGAAAAATTAAACTTTATTAGAATAAAAACACAGTAGGCCAAGCCAAAAAATGTGGAACAATGCCGTGTTATTAGATTTTGAACAAAATTGGCACCTAAAATATAGTAGGCCTCAGACTTTGTAATTTTAGACCCCCTGTATTAGTATTCCAAGGCTATCTTCAAGCAGGCCCGGATCCAGAGGGGGTGGCGATGTGGCGATCGCCACCCCCAAAGCACAACATTTTTTAAAGATCTTCAATTTCTCCAAACGACAACAGGCAGTTAGTCGATATTAATGCAAGTCCCCCTTCCTAACCTACACCTTACGTCATCAAAAAAATAACAACAACAACAACAACAATAATAATAATAATGATAATGATAAAGAAGTGCTTTGCGCCTCCCCCAAAACCAGTCTCTGGATCCGGGCCTGTCTTCAAGAATTGTCAATTTTATCATCTCGTACTTTTTTCATTCGAATCTTAATAAAAAAACAGCAAAAATCTGAATAAAAATATCACATTTATTTATATATCGATACATAAACAGAAAATAGATAAAAATACTTTGGCGGTTTACCTAAACTAGTGATATTGACAAGACTTTAATATGAGAATCTCTATAAACAAACACTTAATGCATTAACAACATGTCCAATTAACTCACTAGGGCTAAGAAATGCAAATAAGCTGCTCTACTCTCTACAAAGTAATAAGTTAAAATATAGACGTAAAAAATTATAAGAACAAACGATTTCAACAGTTTCTATAAAAAAGGTCTAAACCTAAGACTTAAATAAACTTTACCATATACTATTTTAGGTATGTTTAACATTAAATATATTACGCAATTCATAAATATGTCTGTCGTAGATATAAATACTACAAGTGGGTATAAACGATTACAAATGCTCCTCAATGCAAAAATAAGTTAACGATTTCCATTATGGTATTGTTGAATTATGAGTCTTGAGAGTTGGTTCGTGCCATGTTTTTCTGTAAGTTAATAAATTAACAAATTACGTAATTAATTAGTAACAAGAAATTAATTAATTACTAATTAATTAATTAATTAATCATTACTCAAATTAATTGAGCCCATACCTTCTTATTGGATGGATTGGCATTTGTTGGGGGTACAATAACTTCATTTTTCAGGGGTAACTCGTACATAATATTGGCATTCGAGAGTTTCATGCACTCCTCCAAAGTCTTTATAAATGTATCACAAGTGGCACCTAAAAGTCTAGTTGCTTCGTCCATTTTCTAAAACGAAGAGTGCAGGTATAAATATAACTGTGTGCCAAGATTCAATAAACTAATTCGAAATACCTCAATTTCCGGGCCGTCTTCGGCCTGTGCGGACGTCTTAACCACGTGAACCTGTTGCATAAGCAAATCACAGTATAATCTGAGCTCTGACTTTTTAGTTTTCAGTGCGTCCGGATTAGACTCGACTGCAAAGGAAGTTTACTTAGTTTTCTAGCAACTAAGAGTTTATTTCATTTAATATTTCGTTAATTACAATTTTTTAAATAAAAATTCTGTATTCTTGAAGTTAATAAGACTTTTAAGGAGGGCTCTAAAAAAATGTATTCATAAAGTTAAAGCAATTAAATGGCAGCAAATAAAGTATAGGCATATAGTGGAGATGCATCTTAAACAGCTATAAAAAATATGGGGTGCTATAAAATACGGTCATAAAGACAATTATTAGCCATATAAAAGTTATTTGTAGAAAAACAGATCTATAAATAGAGCTTTAATGGTAAATTTTCCCAGAACAAATGAAGAAGTTATGGACTCACCAAGCTGTTTTCCTTTTTGATGGACGCAAGCTTTAGCACTTCCTAAGGCGACCAACCACTGCTGACGTTCCTGTGAAGTAGCTGCCCTTAAGTACAAATGCTGTTCTCCCGGAATAACTAAATCCATACGTGTGTTATCCAGAGGACTAACTGCAAAAATATATCGCAGTATAATCACATGAAATGCAGTAGCATAATTTTAATAGCTAAATAAGAAGCTTACCGTTTATTTCAAATGCCTGAACCTTTAGGGAACCTTTACAGCCTTGGTTTACTTCATCTTGTGATTTGTAATAACTTAAAACACCATTTTCTAATACAAACCATCTCGTCTGCCATCCTAAAAATAACTTTTATTACAATTTCCTTCAGACAAAAATGAAAAAAGAAATACCATTCCAATAGTTAGTCCATTTCCATAATATGCCTTCCATTCTAGATGTTCCTCATTTCACTGTTAACAAGAGATTCCCTTTAAGTCTTTCCACTTTAAGAAGAGCAATAAATTTATTCTTGATTTTTTTAAATCAAAGTAAATAATGCTGTTAATTCACATAAGAAATATATCATATGGTTGAATTGCTTGGTTGTCAAATATTTGACACATGTCTTATTTAAAAGTGTACAGCAGTGGCTCCGGTTACACCACAAAACATGGTTACATTATCGACCACTAGGTTCGTTCTGATTTAGACTGTTTTTTCTACTCCCAGAAATAAAGCTTTATACCAGTACCAGTACAAAATATTTGTGAGTTTGTAACTCAAACAGTTTGGTGTGACGCCCATCATTCTGCTGGAAATTATGGTAAATATATTAGTGGAAAAGGTAACAAAAATGCCGTGAATTTAAGTTGGAGGTTATGTAATAATGTTTCTCTATTTTTTGAAGTTGAGTGCAAATAGTAAAAATTCAATAAAAATGCAAATCAATATATCAAAATGTATCACCTACCAATCGATAAGAGTATAATCAATGTTTTTTTTACAAAATCCATACTTCGCGATTTGCTGTCAGTTATCATTTACAATCATAGACCTAATAAACTACTAGTTCTATGTTTACAACTTATTCACCACCCATCTACCAAATACATCAAGTCTGTTCTGTGATGGGCTGATACACTGATTGATCATCAGGTTGATCAAATAATCTATAAACATGTGCGTTTTGATTTTTTTTGTATTATCTCTATTTACAAAAAGGGAAATGTTCATATTTTACTTTAAAATCTGTTTTGTTTTTGAATTGTTCTGTTACCAATTTTGAATTACTCTCAATTCAACCAATCTGTTCCAGTCCAGCATCGGAGTTGTAATAATCCAACCGTCAACCGAACACAAGTGATCGTAGACACTTTCAATGATTTGTTTTCGTTTTCGATTTCGTTAAAAAGTGGGTGTGTTCTGTGTACCTGAACCATTATTTATTTACTAGGCAAGAACAGTAAAATGATTAAAATCAGTGCCTTATCTTGTTTGTTATTTTTTATATCGATTACGTTTAGTAAGTAAAAACATAAAACCTTATCCTAACCTATAATCCTAATTACATTACTCATGTTTTTAGGCGTAGCCCTAGAGTGCTATGTGTGTGATAAACAAGAAGATAATAAGGGAAAATGTGTAACTACTATTCAAACCTGCAACTATGGAGAAGATGTATGTTTATCAGAAATAAGTTGGGGTAGTACCCCTTACTGGCAGCAAGGAGCGTTGAAGCAATATTACATATCAAAAAGGTGTGCTACGAAAGAGAAGTGTGAGAGATACCGGTCTAGTAACATGGGTACTTGCACTCATATCTGGTATCAGGACTGGAAATGTTCTGAATGTTGCAAAGGAGATCGCTGTAATTATTATATCATCGTAAGTATTTTATTAACAAATTTAGCTTTAGGGGACTTCTTTAATAACAGTATCGGCTCTGTCACACTTTAGGGCAATCGTTAGTAGAAGTCTGATGGACTGTTTTTCACTTTACTTAAAATTTTTTGATATTTATAAATCCTTTTAGGTGAGGATACTTATTATTTTCTGAATCGGGAGTTTTGACCATTCGTAAGTAACTAGTTTTTTTCTTCCATATTGTGAATGTTATGTTTTTTCCTTTGATGAGGTTGTTTGTCATCAGTTTAATTTTCCATAGAATTGCCTGTGTGAAATTTGTTTTTCTGCTTAAATTAGTTTCCCTTAGATTTGGTTGGTTTAGGTCTTTGTAATACAATTTGCTATTTTTGAATGCCCTAAAGTGTTACAGACCTACATATTCATGCCGATTTACATGAATGACACCCTTATAAAGTGATTTATAGATGAATCAATTTTCTTTCAGTCTGGAGCAGAAAAAATTAAATTTGTTTCTGGAGTAATGCTTACAACATTGTTGGTTTTTATGTATTTATAATTTGTAAGACTAGATCTAATACCATTTTCTCTAACGTGAATAAGTATAGGTGGCCGAGATATTATTTTTTATTTAATATCTTATTTAAGTTGACATTAATTATTGCTTTCATTTATACACATTTACTTTGTCATGACATGAACATTTTAGATTTTTTAATTTTAAACATTGATATCCAATCGTTCCGTCCATGTTTTATACCTAAGACTATGTTATGTAGGTAAGCTGTTATTGTTTTAATAAAATATAATATGTAAATAATTACCATGTTGTTCAAATGGTATTAACTATATTTACCTAGTTTTATGATGAAGAGTGTAACAAATTATTTTTACAAATAAATATGTTAGTCTTTGTAGCCAAATTGCAAATTTCAAAAAAAAAATTAAATAGTTTGGTTAGTTGTGAACTGAAAATTGGTACACATTAATAATCCTTATGTTATATCCCACTTCTGATGATCATAAAACTTTTTACATGAATCTCAATAACTCAAATACTTTTCAAAGTTCTAATAATTTGAGAGCAATGTGTCCAAACATAATTGAAAAGTTATATTTCTGTGTGAATCGTTAGGCTTTTTTCGCGAGTGAAGTCGTATGTTGTGGTATGTATAGTATGAGTGAGTGAAAAGATTTAAACTACCATATGACAACTAGGATCAAAAGAGATCGAAATAATGACTACAAGTCAGATATTCAGTCACGAAAAAAAAGCCTCTTGTCTCTGAACATAATTCTTAAGCATCTCATAGTATGCTGTGTGTTGAAATTGTAATTTCTTTATAGCTGTTTTAAATTTTTATATTTTTATATCACTCATACAATTCGTTTTATATCCAATTAATTATAATTTGGAGCTAATAGCACATATATGTTTTTGTAGAATTTATTTCTTGTCCGTTAATAAAGGCAGTTATAGAGTTATATCATAATACAAAAACTAAAAGATATATTTCCGTGAATTATAAAGAATCACTTGGCAGATGATGTCACATGGAGAATGATTTAAGTAGTTCAATAATAAAGCTTATGCCAATAGTTTGTGGTAATGTAATTAATAAAAAAGAAAGCTATAAATATACGTCAGTATTGTTAACGGCACTGCCCTAGCACGGACGATATCGTCAAATCGCTAATACTCTCCACGTGACGTCATAACATGGCCGCTGGTTTACGCAATGCGCAATATCAAATTTCTTAGTATTTGTATCATGTTGTTATATTAAGTATATTGCAGTCCTTGCACACTGTTGTATATAAGATATTTTTTCTACTTTTAATAAAAACTTTTTAGGAATGTTTTGTTTCTGTTGATGTGCCACTACCAGTTGTATAGATAAAAAAAATCAATCAAGATATATGAACAAATTCGCATTATACATATAACTCACACTGTGAGAACAGGCGATAGTTTTCTTCAACTGCAAAGAAAATGAAAATGTTTTGGATGAAAGAATTAGTTTATTTAAATCATTAGTTTTTTTATTTCATTTTGAATTTTATTTTAAATGGTGATGAAATGAAGTAACTGCTAGCGATTTCTTCGACCATTTCAAATCATGTCTCAGAATATAGGGGTGAAAATGCACTTTTGCAGTTTTTTAAATATAACACGAAAACGAAGCAAAATTTCGGTATACTTAGTTCATAGGAAAAATTTTGTAGAGAATTGAATTTCCCATCGAAATGGCTTATTTAAAAAAATATAAAAGAAAAATTTTAAGCAAAAAATCGTTAATTAATCAATTAAAAAAGAGCAAAAAATGAGATTTTGATTTTTTTTTTACTTTTTTGACTATAATTTTTTTTAGTAGAAGTAGGCAAAAAAAATTGCTGTACAAAAAAACTAGATGAGATTCGCTTTAAAATGATGCGTTTTCAAAAGTTTTTGGGCTAATATGGACTGAGTTATAACCGGTCAAACTTAAATATTTTTTAGATATTGTCGTTTTTAACATAAATTAAAGTCAAACAAGTAAAAAAAATGAAAAAAATAAGATATGCTCTTTTTTTAATTGTTTATTAACGATTTTTTAAATAAAATTTTTCTTTTAAATTTTTTAAATAAGCCATTTCGATGGGAAATTCGATTTTCTACAAAATTTTGATTTAATTTGAAATATGTATATTTTATTTCCGTTTCGTTACAAATCTACAAAGTCGACATTTACCGTTACTTTTTTGTAAAAATAATAAGAATTATAATTATTATGTTAAAAACGACGAAAATCTAAAAAATCTTTAAGTTTGGCCAATTATAACTCAGTCAATATTAGTCCAAAAGCTTTTGAAAATGCATAATTTTGAAGGGAATCTCATCTAATTTTTTTGTACAGCAATTTTATTTGCCTACTGCTACTACTAAAAAAAAATAGTAAAATAAAAATTTTTTTTAATAAAAAAATATTATTTTTTGCTTTTTTAAATAGTTTATTAACGATTTTTTGCATAAAACTTTTCTTTTAAATTTTTTAAATAAGCCATTTCGATGGGAAATTCAATTCTCTACAAAATTTTTCCTATGAACTCTACCGAAATTTTGCTTCGTTTTCGTGTTATATTTAAAAAACTGCAAAAGTGCATTTTCACCCCTATCTTCAATTTCAACCCTCTAATTTAATGGAACCCCCGTTTCTTTTAATTTTTATTGACCTTTCGAACAAGTCGTGATCAAAATCCTTGAACGTCTTATTTCCTTCCTTTTTTGCAAAAAATGAGAATTAAAACATAAGGGTAAACACGAAAATCTAAAAATTGAAAAGTGTGAGCGGCCTTATATCAGTCAATTCTCATCCAAAAATACTGTACAACCTCTTTTTTGAGGGTAATTTTATCTACTTTCTTTTTTATGAAGCAATGCATATACCTATCTTAATTAAAAAAACTATAGGCAAAAAAGTAAAAAGAATAAAAAAATCGAATTTTTTGCTATTTTTTCAAATTGTTTATAAACGATTTTTTCCTATGAACTATAGCGAAATTTTGCTTCGTTTTCGAGCTACAATTAAAAAACTGAAAGGGGTGCATTTTCAGCCCTATCTCCAATTTCCACCCTTTAATTTAATAGCACTCCGCGGTTTTTTCATCTAAAATGACCATTTGAACGATTCATGTAATAAAATATCTTGAACGCCATAGTTCCTTTTAAAATCCTGTAATCAAGAGCCTAATATACGAAAACATTAAAATCAAGAAAATAAAAGAACAACTTTAAATACATTTATTAAAACTTACAAATACTTGTACATATCAATAAATCTATATGTATATATACTCTATGATTGCATTAAAATCTAAAACTTACAACGGAAATATATAAATATAATAAAATAATATAGATAACTATAACAAATGTTAATGTATGCAGTAAAAACATACATTAATCTATACGGCAAATAGTAAATTTATATTGGTCCATTAAATAAATTGTACTTCAGTAATATACACATTAAAGGTAAACGGTAAATATTTTTTTAAACATATAATCTTTGCCTAACCAACATCGAAGATATATCTCATTACCTATACGTTAGTATATTGCTCTTATAGTAGATTAATTCTAAACACAGGCAGAAACATGTAATTTCGGATCTGTCATCCAAAAACGAAAAATTTTGGGAGTAGGATCGGCGACGACAGGAGACGTGTGCCTCTTTTCATCAACTCTCTTTTTAAAATGACAAACTGTGAACATGAAAATATTTAACAATGTTTCCGGGGATAGACGTATATTATCACATGAAACATATTTTATTTTAAATAAATCTCCTGATATTTTCTATAAATTACATTTTTCGAGTTGATATTATGCCCTTGAGGAAACATTGTTCTAGGGTTTAAATTAGCACACACAGACACAGTTAAAGGGTCAGTATTCTTACCATTTAGAAGTTGTGAGCACGAGAAGTTTAGATAGTGAATAAATGAGTAGGTCTATGTACAATATTAGTGGAATCATTTTTATGAACCGTATTTTACAGAAAAATAATGTTTTATAGCTTCGTTTGTATTTACAGCTATTTATATGGAAATATTTTAGAAAATACAAAATTTGGCAGACGCTAGACACTTATTTTTTATATGTTACAGCATATTTTTGGTTAATAATCCACTAGCGATGAGTACAAAAAAAACTTTACTTCTCTAAATGATTTGTAACAGCCCAAGTAAAAACGCTATGCTATAAGAGCAACCAACGATTGGGGGGGTAAAAAAATTTCAACACATTTTTTCTGAAGTTCGGGACTTCCTAGGGAAATATCTACAATACAGACTTACTTTTAACATTTAAACGTTTATGACGTATGGCTAGTAGTTTAGATGCTTTAACAGTACGACAATGATTTACTCTACAGATTACGTACGAGTTTTTTTGGCATAATTCTGTCAAGATGGAATTTACACAGAAAGTTAGTCATGCAATATTGCTACGTTAGTTATCGTTGATATTAGAATCGTTCGGGTTCTTGAGTCGCATTTATATCCGAGACTTTCGCGCTTGGGAGCGCAATGTCCTACAAACGCTCCGTCACTAACACCTTGGTGTCGGTGTTGAGCGTGGGACTGCGGACAGCAAAGGATACCAGGATACCAATTGCTACGAACACCATACCCAGGGCGTTTATCACTATTCCCTGTTCTTTCCAGTCGGAATATTCGTCCCTAAAAGGTTTGTTAGATGTTGTTAGATCACGTTATGATTAAAAATTACGAAACCTATCTGATTTTCTAAGAAAATCCGTGCACGATGCTTTGCTTTGAAGTAAATAATTGTACCAATCTGGGTGTTTGGAAAAGTGCGACAAATTCAGGGACTTGGAGAACAATATTGTCATTAAAAATATTTCCGACGTCTTATTTTCGTAAAAACAACAAAAAATGATCTATAAGAAAAAATCCTCTTATTTTTTACGATCTGTCGACAGTCCCTAAATTTATGGTTGCTTTCTCAAAAACGCCCTGTATGAAGGAAAGTGCCGATTGTGTATAGTTAAGCAACGATTTCATGCAACTAAATTTTGATTTAATAACGCATGCAGTAAAGCTCACAATGCAAATTCTTCAGACCAATACCGGAGTACAATTTACGACTAATCAGTCTAATTTTGAAGTACAAAATTATTTCTGAATGCAAAAATTCTACATTTTATGCCTACTTAATTGGGTATATATCACATAAAGGTTATAAATCATTTTAAAGAATTAATTCTTCTATTACTGAGAAGCTCAAGGAGCTAAAAAACGTTTAAATGAATCTTGAAATTTTATGAGTATTTCAAATAGTTTAATTTCAAATATAAAAAATAACAATATAATAGTTACCTACGCTTAACGTAACTACTTACAGACAAAATATACAAACCTCGATGTACTTTAACATACACACGCATACACAAGAATATATCTAAATACTTAAACAAAAAAAAAGTTAAGCTAGATACAATGGAAAATTTAAAAAACATTCACGTTATAAACTCGTACTGTTCTTATGATTAATATTTTCGTATAAATGGGAAGATAAAATACGTACGATAAGTATTTTAGTTTAGAGCGGAGGTTCTCAAACTTTTTAACTGGGAATGTAAACTAATAGTATAAATATATGTATACAAGTATACATGCCTTGGTTTGACCAGTTTATAATACTTTCTAGAATATCTGCTTGACCTAGCATTCCAAATGGGAAAAAACTAAATGAACTTCCCGTACCACAGTTTGAGAAATCCTGGTTTAAAAGTATACTTTTAACTACTTTCAGTATCTCTGGAATAACAATTACTTTCAGTATTTTATTTTCCCAACAATATCATCCTGTTAATATTAGTCAAAAGAATATTTGATGACGGCTTGGACTACAAACAAATATAGAGTACTACATATTAGAGATCTCCAGAACGTATCAGAATATGCGCCCTGAAACGGAACTCGTCCCTTTGAAGGATATACGCTACTACTATAGCGAGGGCTATTAGGCTCATGCCGATCGTATTAACTACAATGGACTCGTCGTCTAGCGTGGAATAGCGTGCTCTAAATTGTAAAACAAAAAAAAAAATATTAGCTACAAGCATAGAAAAGAAAAAAGACGATACAAGGGTTTGTACATAGATCTAAATTAACGATGATGATTGCGGAGATCAGTGCTAAAAATAATCACGCTGTCACTACCCAACGTTTCGCTTGTTTAATAGAAACTTCTTCAGAAGACATGGCAAAATGTTAATGGTAAGTTTTGTGTTCTAAAGTTACAATACCCTAATTGCAATAAATCAACAGAATTAACATCGAAATATAAACAATGCATATTAACTCCTGAAATTGTATTCAAACTAATCTAATTAGTATAAATTTAAAAATTTTTTGCAACTTGTTAAATTAATGTTAGATGCTGTAGACCGATCGAAATAACTCATTTAGAGGGGAAAAAAAAGAAAATTGTTACCTGCACTTTTATAATTGGAAATGGTAAAGGGGCTTATAATAAATTAAAAAAAATAAGTGCGCGAGCAGGGGTGGCGGAGGGTTGATTTGGTGGATTGAAAAATTGTATCATCGGAATTTCTGGCAAAAGTGACGTCAAACAAAAAAGTATTTAATACAAAAGCTGTAGATCATGCAAAAATCTACAACGTTTGTAGAGGTCACTTTTTAGGATAACCTCAAAATTTCCGAGAGAAATGCGAAAACAGGTTTTTTCTGATTTTTCGTTTTTCATTTCTCGTTTCCGAAAAAATAACAATTTTAACGAAATTTAGTAAAAGTGTACCTCTCTGTCTCTTAAATCACCACGAATTTTCTTAGGTAAAAAAATCAATAAGTTTCCGAGATATTCATTTGTTCTGGTCTGAAACACTTTTTTCAAAGAAAAATTGTACTTTGAAAAATCGTCGTACAGAGTTCTGCTGGTGATAATTCTTTTCGCTTTGGCATATTCTTTTTGGTGAAATAAAAAAATCTGTAATCACAGTTCAAAAACATGCTCAAAAATACAAAAAAATAAACGATGAATTTTTCAGTAATTGTTGATAATTTGTTTAAATTAAAAAAAAAATCGATTGTACGGAAAAAATACAAAAAAAACTCTCATTGCTTGACCCAAAACTTTATTTTTGTACAGTATTGCTATAATAACATAAGTCGAATAGTGAATAAATAAAATAAAATGATTTTGCAAAATTTCGCGTTTTCGGGTTTCGCGTCAACAGTAGACTTTGCAGTTAATACATTGTATTGCTGAAATCTCAAATCATCCAGCGATAATTTATCATTAGTGCATTTATAATTTGACTTGGATGTTTATAGCAATACTGTACAAAAATAAAGTTTTGGGTCAAACAATGAGACACAGTTTTTTTGTATTTTCTTCCGTAGAATTGAAAGGTAATTAGTTTTTGATTTTTTTTTTTTATTTAAACAAATTATCAACAATTAATTACTGAAAAATTAATTGTTGCAAGTCATTTTTTATTTTTTGCATTTTTGAGCATTTTTTGAACTGTGATTACAAATTTTTTTTATTTCACCAAAAAGTATATGTCAAAACGAAGAAAATGATCACCGGCAGAACTCTGTACGATGATTTTCCTAAGTAGAACTTTTCTTTGAAGAGAAAGTGTTTCGGACCGGAAAAAATGAATATCTCGGAAATTTCTTGATATTTGTATCTAAAAATTGTAGTTATTTAAGACACTTTCCCCAAATTTCGTCCAAATTAAGTTATTTTTGCAGAAATAAGAAATAAAAAACGAAACATTGAAAAAAACCTGTTTTTCGCATTTTTCTCGGAAATTTTGAGGTTATCGTAAAAAGTGACCTCTACAAGAGTTGTAGATTTTTGCATGATTTACAACTTTTTCGTTGGATACTTTTTTGTTCGACGTCAACTTTCGCCAGAAATCCCAATGATACAATTTTTCACAACTTTTCAACCCCCCAAATCAACCCTCCGCCACCCCTGCTCACGCATTCATTTTTTTTTAGGTTTATTATAAGCCCTTTTACCATTTCCACTTATAAAAGTTGAGGTAACTATTTTTTTTTCTCCAAGTGATTTTGGTTGGACTGACCTTGAACTAATTGACTTAAAAAGGGAGAATAATTAAATTATAAACACATAAATTACACTGGTTCTTTAGGTTTTCGAAATTTTGTCGAAATTTTTCATTCTTGAATTCCAACATTTTTTATTCCATCCGCCATATTGAATCCGCCACTTTAAATTTTGTAATTCTGACTTCAGATTCGTAATCAATGAACCAGAATGCCTGAAAAGCCAGTGAGTTTGTAATTTGATTTTTTTTTAAATCTTGATCTGATGTTAATCAATTTCCCAACATTGAAGAATATACCAAACGAATTAGTTTTAACAGGCTATATCTCGAAAAGGAAACGAAATGTTCGAACGATTCGAAATCGATTTTGAAGACGATGAGTAGTATTTTCAGATGTCATAAGTTATGTGGAGAAAATTCACTGGTCATGTAACATAACATCAAAAATAGCGAAAAAAACGCTTTTTTCACACTTTTAGGTTAGGATATTTCTAAACTTGACACATGACGTGGCAAAAAACTTCGGAAAAGTAGAGCTGTATTTTTGGTTTAAAATTTTATCGTCCGCTATTTTAATAAAATTGATTATTTTTTAATATTGTCAATTTTATTAATTTATTGCAATGTGAATTACTTTTAAACACAAAACTCACTACTGAAATTCTACCATGTGCCTCTAAAAAGTTTGCGTTAAATAAACGACACATTGTCTTAGAGCACTGCGATTTTTTTTACCCTGACTATGACGACCATCATCATAAACAATAATAATAACATCAATAATAACAATAACAAAATCCCTACCCCTTGTTCTAATCGCAAGGTTTATTCCAGAAATCGAAAATTTGTGCGCGAGAGGTGCCAGCTTATCATTATTCGGCACATTTAAATAAATAACAATTATCTATTTAAAGTGAACTACCTTGTACATGCTTTAAATTGGCATAAACTGCATATCCATTACTGGCAGCGCAAACCTTGACTTTTATTTCCTTATATCTTATCGCGAAAGCGAATTGACTATACCTTTTATTTGAATAATAGTGACTTATAACTGTGACATTCCAAGAAATCAAAGGTGTAAGCCATGCTAAATATGTTGCATATTTCAAGGCAGCGGTCGATTCAAAGAAAACTGCAGTTTTATTCTGACAATGCAAAGATCTAATAAATTAAGTATTATGTGTTTTTAAATAATAATTTTGTTCTTTGAAAGTTAATAATCATTTATATGAACAGACTGTTAAAATTATTAGTTAGGAATAGCATATGTCAACCAGCAATTTCACTCCGCTTTGTACGATTTAGTTTCGCCTGAACTTGCTGGTTTACACATGCTGTGCTAGGAGTGTAGTCGGTATTGCTACTGAACACTTTCAAGATAAATAAAATCTGAGAAAAATAAGGATAACTTTGTAAAGCATCAACGCTTTTAGATCTACAGCAGTTCAGTTCGATCTTCACCGTTCCTTTTACCTCGTTATACTCACCGTAGATCAAAGAACTCATTACGTACCCTAAAGAGAATATAGCTTTTTCTGTTAAACCTGTGACGGCGGCAGCTATGGCTAACATGAACGTGGTCAGTCCGAACGACGCGTGGATTGGCACTAGAGAAGCTCTAAAACCAGCGGTGGCACCCTCACAGCACAGGAGGACCAGGAAACTAAAGAATCCTACGACAAACTGAAAAAAAAAATACAAAGATAAATTACGCAGTGATTAGGATGGGAAAAAAATAATTTACATACTTAAATTGCACTTTCTTAACCTTTGATGTGCCCTTGTTGTTCTCGAGCTAGGCTTTGTGGGGGCAGAATCACTCTCAGTACCCTAGAATTTTGTCAGTATCAGCTTTAGGACCAACAAAATATCAAGGCTGCCTTTTTATAGCAGTTCCGCCCCCACAGAGCTTAGTTCGAGAACAAAGTTACTAAAGCTAAGAAAGAGCACGACATAATCCGAAATAACAATAAACTCTTGACACCACCATAAATTTGATGTGAATCAGATAATTCTTATGAGAGTTATAATGGCTTTGCTGTTAAAAAAACATCTTCATGTCATATTAAGCAATACCTAGTAAGACACACCACTCCTACACATTTCATAAATTGGAAACAATTGTCCAATTGCACAATTTATTTATTTCACTTGTTACAGCCACCAAACGTACTTAGCGACATAGGAAAATAGCTTCAGTAACTGTACTAGAAGAGGCGTTACAAAGTAGATAATGCTTATATTTAAATAAAATAAACAGATAACCAACCTAATGAATATTAAAAATAAGCTCCTTGGATGTGTAATCGGTCTACAAATTTATTCCCGCAGATCGCAGTAAACTCTGGTAAAGTAAGAGAATGATTAACTGCCTAAGTGCAATTACTGTCAGTCATAATCTCCAGGAACCCATTTACAATTTGTTTTAATAGTTTATGTGAATCACATAGAAATAGTAAAGTAAAATGAATAAATGGAACTACATACTTAATAACCAAGTGGCACCAGCGACTTCGCCAAAATTTAAAATCCACCTTTGGTAGCAACGTGAAAAATACTTTTGGGTCACCATAAATTCTGATTTCGTAACATTTTCCTACATTTGTTCACGAGTTTGACCTTTATTTAATTTAAGCGACGTTTCTCGTACTATTAAAAAATGGTTGTTGCAACTTTCACCGGGTATACCGCGTTTACTTAACAAAAACTGTCTATTAGCACTTACATATTGCTAATTATTAAGTTTTTGTTTGGATTATTTGATACATTTTACCTGAATTAATAGAATTTTCTTATCCACAAACATTTAAATATTTAGCCTACCGTATTTGTTGTACTTTCACTCCCAAAAAGATAGTTTTAACTCAGTTTTAAATATGAATTCATGGAAAAACTCTGTCATTAGTTAATTGTAAAATGTATTTATTTTTTTTAATAAATACGCGATATATTTCGAACAAGATCATTGCTTCGAACTTCCAAGTTCATATGAACTCAGATTAATCTACACTAAAAAAAATTGTATGTAAAATTGCACATTATATTATATTTACTATATTATTAGTTACATAGAATTACCTAATGTTATCTTTCAGAAATAAAATTACGTTAAGCATTATTCAATTTTTTTGAAATGTTTAAATTATCCAAAATATTTCTATAGCCACTTTTGCAGAGAATTTCAGAGTGGTGTGGACTTTTTTATTCAATGTTTCGGTTCCGAGAAAGTAATATCAAGTTTTTTTCTTATTGATGCCATGTTAAAGTTTATGCTAAGTTAAAAGAGCATTTTTTAGCTTTTCTATGATGTATCAGGAACTCAATAATGTGTCGAAAGAACAACAAACATTATTTATGTTTACTATTATATTCTAGCAAATTTGACGCCTTAAAAAAAAGTTGATTTTGGTTTCTTGAAACCGAAACGTAGAAATAAAAATCTGAGCCCATGTTGAAGTTCTTTGCAAAAAGTTGTTATAAAAAATTCTTATTAAACCGATATATTTGAATTATCTTTGAAATCTCAATGAAAAATATTTGTTACAATTTTTTTAAGCAATGTGTTTAGTTTGTGATCTATGTCAACAACTTCTGACACTGACCTAGTCCGAAATGAAAACTATTATACTACAACTGATTCAGTAAGAAAGCGTGGCATTGACGGATATTGACGTTCGATCTGTTTCGACCAATAGTTTTGCAGTTACGTGCTTGATCACTGTTTACACGATTGTTCTTTTTTGACTAAACCCCGTATTTAAGCATTTCTTGAGTTCTCGAACAACTTTGTTAAATAAAGTTTTTAACGAAAACAAAAATTAGAGGTAGTTTGCTTAGGGAAAATTTCACATTTTTAATTTTTTAAACGCCCTGTACGCTTTATTAAATATTTGATTACTGCCCATGGCTTCCCAAGATAAGCAAAACTTTTTATCAAGAATAACTGTTTCTCGAAAAATCAACAATAAAAAAGTTTGCAAGAGTGCGGTACCCCATTTGGGGACACACTGTATATTTTTTGAAAGAAATCTTTTATATGTAAACACCATTGCAAATATTTAAATAAACTTGTTCCTGCGATTACAAAAGATCGTTGAAAGTTTTTTTACCCTTCAAATTTGGTTTCAACACATCAAAATATATAGGGTGTCCGGTAAGTACCTCCTAATCACTCGGGAGTGTATAGGGGAGGTCAAAATAAAACTAGTCCTTCCTATAATTTTTTTTCCTAATGTGCCCCCTAACGGAGTTATGGGGGGTCAAAGGGGTACCTAGAAATTAACGTTTAGGGTTATAACTTTGAAACCACCCTGTATATTTTAATAAAATTTTCGTACGTTGTATTACACATGGAGCTCTACGATTTGATGCTAAAATCAACTTTTTGCTATTATCAGGTGTCCAGAAACGGACTGGCCCTATCACAATTTTTCTCAAAATTTTGACAGAAGTAATTTTATCAAACTGAAAATATTATTATTAGATACTCTGAAGGTTTTTCTTTAAAAATGGTACTCTTTATTTATTTCGAAAAAATGAACGGTTTGCGAGATAAATCGGTTTTGAAAAAAATTGGTAACAAATACAACAACAATTAAAATTTATTTTTTTTACATATTATTTCATGCATTTAATTTCTTTAACTTTATCAAGTCCAGAAATCTTTGAACGGGTTGGCTATACTTTATGAGCAAGTAGTGACCAATTAAAAATAACATTTGAAAAATAACTTACTTACAAGACATGCAACAAAGAACATTCAACAATGAACAAAGGTACCTAAATGTTACTTCGGTAGATGTTCAAAATGAGCACCCCGTACTTCAATGCACTTTCTAATCCTACGAATGTTTTCCCGGTGCACTTGAAATAATATTCCGTGATTATTGCGGAGATGGTCACAGTTCTGTGTTAGCCTCAGCAGAAGTTCCTCTCTACTATTTACGGGTGTTGAATAAACGTTATTTTTTAAATGACCCCACAGAAAAAAGTCTAATGGGTTTAGGTCGGGCGACCTAGGTGGCCATAATACAGGTCCGCCTCGACCTATCCATCGATCACCAAAAACATTCGTCAGATGTTGACGTACTAAACGATCAAAGTGGGGTGGTGCACCGTCATGCATGTACCACATTTCAGTTCTTATTTGAAGGGGCACTTCTTCTAACAAAATATTTAGATTTTCCTCTAAAAATTGCAAATAAAGAGCACCATTAAGTCTTTGCTCCAGAATAAATGGACCAATCAAATGATTCCCGATAATGCCAGCCCACACATTCACCATAAACCTTTGTTGGTAGCGAGTTTGAACTAAAGCGTGAGGGTTTTCTTCATCCCAGACATGTAGATTATGCGAATTAATTATGCCGTCTCTTGTAAAACCTGCTTCATCGGTGAACAAAATAGATGTACCAAAATTATGATTCCGAATATGATGCTGTAAAAACCAATTGGCGTATTGAAGTCTTTTTGGATAATCATCTGGAGACATAGCATGTACTTTTTGGATGTGGTACGGGTAAAGCAATTGTTCTTTCAGAGTTTCATGTACAGCCCATTTTGTAACATTGTTTTGCGCCGCAAGCTTCCTTATGCTATTTGAAGGATTATTAGCAACGTCTTCCAATATTTGTTCCTCTACATGAGGGTCTCGTACTCTCCTCGGGGCTCCTGCTCCACCACGGCGTGGCAAAAAGCTTCCTAAATAAAGGATTCGGAAGAAATTAGTTTCACTAACGTTTTTCACTATTTTTTTTTACCTGTTTCTCTTAAACTACGATCAACTCTTTCAAAAGTTTTTGGACTCGGCAAATGTCGACCCGGAAACCTTTCCTCATAAAGTCTTCTTGCCTCCACGGAGTTGCATAATGCTTCCCCATAAATTAGGTGCATATCAGCATATTCTGCACAGGAATATTCTTCCATTTTTAAATGTTATTTCTAACGGCTTAAAACGAATACCACAATAAAATTGAATTTTTATTCTGTCACGCGCCTTTGACAAGTACTTTAAAATCAACAGGGTCTAACAACGAAAACAATAGAAAAGAACTCCATGGAGACAAGAGCAATAATAATTTGTAGATGTATTTTGGTCATAGATGTTGATTTTACAAGAAACGGCATTATTCATTCCCTTAATTCACCACCAGTAAATGTTTATGGTGAATCTGTAGGCTGGCACTAGCGGGAATGATTTTATTGTAAAAAAATAAATTTTAATTGTTGTTGTATTTGTTACCAATTTTTTTCAAAACCGATTTATCTCGCAAACCGTTCATTTTTTCGAAATAAATAAAGAGTACCATTTTTAAAGAAAAACCTTCAGAGTATCTAATAATAATATTTTCAGTTTGATAAAATTACTTCTGTCAAAATTTTGAGAAAAATTGTGATAGGGCCAGTCCGTTTCTGGACACCTGATAATAGCAAAAAGTTGATTTTAGCATCAAATCGTAGAGCTCCATGTGTAATACAACGTACGAAAATTTTATTAAAATATACAGGGTGGTTTCAAAGTTATAACCCTAAACGTTAATTTCTAGGTACCCCTTTGACCCCCCATAACTCCGTTAGGGGGCACATTAGGAAAAAAATTATAGGAAGGACTAGTTTTATTTTGACCTCCCCTATACACTCCCGAGAGATTAGGAGGTACTTACCGGACACCCTGTATAAGAAAA